ACTTTCATATGAATGAAAGCATCATATTTTCTCGTGTATCAGTACTTCATTTATATTTATTGCTCAGTAATATTCCATTGCATGGGTGTAGCACGGTTTATCTATTTATAGGTTGATTTTGATTTGTTTTGAAACCACTTCAGAGATCATTCCCAATGCTCTGGCCCAGGCCAGGAGGGGCAGTAACTCAGAGTGGGGTGGGGGTCACTGTGTAATTCAGGAGTCCTGGCGCACCCTGGCCAGCATTTGGTTATACAGAGTGGGATCCAAAAGCCGAGGCCCCGCAGGGGGCGGGACCTCACACCTTCACTGATCCTCCCCCTTCCCGCGCCTCCGCCCCCAACTCTCTCTCCCCTCCCAGGGCCCTAGGGAGCTGAGCGGGAAGTCTTCTCCAGGACCCTTCCCAGTTTAGAAAAATCTATTTGCATGGTAAAGGCCCCGTGGTTTAGGACGGGGAATTAAAGTTATTAGCAAGTCTTTTCATAGATAAGTGGGGCTCATCGGCCAGCCCCCTCCCCTGGGGTGCGCCTCCCCTCGCTCTCCGAGTCCTGGAGCGGCCCACTGTTTATTAGCACCTGGGTGTGAATTTCCATTAACACGTCCCCGCTAATAAGAGGGCTGGAGATGGGAAGGGGCGCCTCCCACCCCTCCCGCAGCCCCACCCGCTTCCTGGGCCGGCCCCGCTCGCACCTATCGGGAGGAGGGTCGAGAGCGGCGCCCAGGTAGGTGAGCCCTGGGTGAGGGCGCGCTGTCAGTTCTCTGCTAAGCCGTTAGCGGGGCCGTGTGGAGGATGGGAAGTTGAGACAGGAAGATCAGGGGCCGCGTTGAGACTGGGGCCCAGGTGTGACTCCAGGGCCGGTGTACTTCCCCGCGGGCGCATCGCCTTTGCGACAGCTGAGCAGGGACAGAGGGTGCTGGGTGCCGCGTCCCCTCACGGTGGGGGGGCTGGTCCGGAGAGGGCTGGGCGCAGGCCTGCTGGAAGGGGGGTGGGGGGCGGAGGATGGCATCAGCGGCGGATCCTGCCCGGCTCTGGTCGCCGCTGGCCTCCTTCGCAGCCCCAGGGGTCAGAACCGTCATGTTGGAGAAACACACATAACGGAGCAACCAGACGAGCCGGGTCTGTGTTTAAGGCTTTAAATTGACCAACTGGGGGCTTCCCTGGTTGTCCAATGGTTAAGACTCCCGGCTTCCAATGCGGGTTCCATCCGGGGTCAGCAACCTAGATAGAATTCCACATGCCCTGAGGAACGGTCAAAGGTTAAAGGAGAATGCTATTTTTATATATTGCTTAAAAATAAAATGTTTAAAAAAATAAATTCAACAACTAATTTCAAGTCATTTTAGCCTCAGATCCACAGGTGAGGTGGGCACGTGGTGGGGCACCTGTAGCTATTTTACAGATGAGGACACTGGAGCATAGAAAAAGAACAAGGAAATTTTCACAAAGCTAGTATACCTGATTGGGGCTTCCCAGGTGGTGCAGTGATAAAGAATCCACCAGCCAACACAGGAGATGCAAGAGACATGGGTTTGATCCCTGAGCTGGGAAAATCCCCTGGAGAAGGAAATGGCAACCTACTCCAGTATCTTTGCCTGGAGAATCCCCATGGACAGAGGAGACTGGTGGGGTACAGTCCATGGGGTCTCAAAAAGTCAAACACAGTCACTGAGCGACTAAACAACAACAATGTTTACCTGTTTATTGTGTGGCAACATTGGTGAGTGGTACTTAACAGATCTGGTCTTTGCTGTAGTCTGTCAAGCAAGTAGTATGTATGTGTGTTGAGGCGTGTGAAATAAAGCTCCTAAAGCACGTAGCCCACCAGTGGCATCACCGGCAGGAACCTGCCGCTGCCTGTTGACCACATGTATTGCTCCCATGAGACAGCTGTATTTTGTAGATGCTGATGCTGGACAGGTCAGTGTTTTCAGGAGGGGCAGCTAAGCGGATCAGTTGACACTGAAGACATTGATTCAAAGACACACCACATGGGTCACCAGATGAACCCAGGGCTGGAGAGGAGGGCTGGTGGTCAGGAGTTATCTGTATCAGCAGAGGGCAGACTATCCCAGGATCCGGGCTGGAAAGCTGGGTTCAAACTTGGGTGAGTGGGTGGTGCACCTGGTGGAGGGCCATGCTATGCTAAATGAACATTTGAGGGGTGAACCCCATCTGAGGGGTGGGACACGTGGATGCCCCAGGATTCTCAGGATTCTGAAACACCCCCGCCTGGAGAACCAGGCTGGCCCAGGGCTCAGGAGGGAAGCCAGCCCTAACTGCAAGGCCCCGATTATCCCAGGGTGAGACCAGGGCCACTTTGTCCACTCTCCCCCTCCACCCCCTCCCCACCCAGGTACAGACCCTGCTTTGCACAACCCTGAGGGTGAGTGCCTCCTAAACTCTGTGCTCTGGACACTCAGCCGCATCCTAATGTTCCCCGAGAAAACCTAATGTTCTTGGTGCTTCTCAGGGGCCCTGTCTCCCAGAGGCCAGGGACCTTTTGGGGGGCCACTGGCACAGCCCCAGGAGTGCACCAGCTCCATGGGGGGTGAGGCTAGAGCCCTGGATTCCCCAGCCTAGTGCCACCTGAGCCTTTTCTGCCCACCTTCTGGTCCTTTGCCGGCCCTGGTTCCCTCTCCCTTATCCCTCTGTGGATCCAGCATGTAAGGTTCCCTGTGAATGCCCCAACCCCCCATTGCTCTCCCCACCCACACTAGGAAGTGAGGAGGTACCTGGTGTTGGCAGCATGTGACTTTGGAAAGGGTGGACAGGGCACCTCCCTTGTCTTGGCCTGCTCAGCACCCCTCCTACTCTTGTCCCTTGTGGCCTGTCATTTTCTTTCTTTCTTTTTTTTTTTTTTGTCATTTTCTATTCTCCAGACAGCTCTCCCTTCCTTAGTTTGGGTGGCCGTGACCTCCATGCCCCTCTAGGGACGGGCACGTGTGTAGGTTTAAACGGTCATCACAGTGAGTGGTTCAGGGACGTGACCACATACAGGCCAGTGAGGAGCAGGCTTGGGACTTTGCTGGAACCACTGAGAAAGGGACAGTCACCGTGGGTGCTGTTAGTGGTCATTTTGCCACCCAAGCAGAAGGGCCTACCTAAAAAAGGGAATCAAAACTGGGGGGTGGGGACTTCCCTGGTGATCCAGTAGCTAAGACTCTATGCTCCCAATGCAGGGGACCCAGGTTCAATCTCTGGTCAGGGAACTAGTTCCTACATGCTGAAACTAAGACCTGGTGTAGCCAAATAAGTAAATAAAGAAAAATAGATACTAAAACAAAACAAAACAAAAATAAACAACTTGACCTAGGGCCAACCACATGGAAAGCAATATGTCTAGACTTTTATACTCCATGAACCAACAAATTCTCCTTGTTGCTGAAGTTAGTTTTAGTTGGGTTTCTGACTTTTGCTATTGAAAAAGTCCACCAGGATTTGATAAGGCTGTTCCAAGTCTTGACTACAGTCTCAATTTCCCTCTTTGTTAGAAGGGGATAATCATACTTACATTTTACAAAGTGATGTAAGGCTTTTATCTAAAATACAGAGACCCCGGTAGATGCACTGTAAATGTCAGTTCCCCATCACATTTAGATGGCGTGTAAAGCCAAGATGATCATCCTAAATTTTCCTTCCTCATCTCAGAGGGACCTGCCAGCCACCATGCCTACTGTGTAGAGGAAAAGGATACTGTAGAGCATTTTGTTTTTATTTTTTTTTCCTGCTGTGTTTTCATTCTCATGATGAGGACGGCGAGGGGCAGAGTGTCTCAGGTGGGGATCTCTTTATCCAGGGGGCATTCAACTAGTCAGTATCAGCGCCATGAGGGAGGTGTCAAGCCAACAAAGACTGTGTATGACTCAGGGGAGAAGGTGGATGGCGACACAGAAACAGTTCAGTTCAGTTGTTTAGTTGTGTCTGACTCTTTGAGACCCCATGGACTACAGCACACCAGGCCTCCCTGTCCATCACCAAGTCCTGGAGTTTACTCAAACTCATGTCCATTGAGTCAGTGATGCCATCCAACCATTTCATCCCTGTTGTCCCCTTCTCCTCCCACCTTCAAACTTTCCTAGCATCAGGGTCTTTTCAAATGAGTCAGTTCTTCACATCAGGTGGCCAAAGTATTGGAGTTTCAGTTTCAGCATCAGTCCTTCCAATGAACATTCAGGACTGATTTCCTTTAAAGATGGACTGGTTGGATCTCCTTGCAGTCCAAGGGACTCTTAAGAAGTCTTCTCCAACACCATAGTTCAAAAGCATCGATTCTTTGGCGCTCAGCTTTCTTTGTGGTCTAACTCTCACATCCATACATGACCACTGGAAAAACCATAGCTTTGACTAGATGGACCTGTGTTGGCAAAGTAACGTCTCTGCTTTTTAATATGCTGTCTAGGTATGGTCACAAACCATGCAAGCATTCAGCCTTGGTGGGTGGTCTTGGGAGAGGCTGGGGTGCACTAACCACCTGCAGTTCTCAAAGGCACCACATGGTGTCCTCAGAGAGGCAGGCGTAAGCTTTGAGCGGCAGGGGACTGACTCCACCCAGTTTTCCAGGGAAGGGCAGTTTCCAGAACAGAATAAGGCACCTCTGCGCCTCCCTCCTAGGCCCCCAGCACCCCCAGTCTCCTCTAGGGTTCCCAGGCAGCAGACAAGAGGAAGACAATTCCTGCCTGCCCCCACTGTGCCTCTCACACCTGTGTGACCTCAGGTAGTCAGTCAACCACTCTGAGCCTCAGCCTCTCCAGAGTGAGTCCACAAAGGTTATGAAACCGCGAAGAGACGGCAAACAAGTGGGCCAAGAGCAAAGGGGGCCACACAGAGCCGGGCGGACTGGGTGTCTTGCTTACTTGAGAAGAGTGGCTCCTGCTCTCCTTGTGGGCCTATGAGGTGAACCATCCTCACCAGGCCTGGGACTCTCGCTGACCTCATTGCCTGGGCCCTGCTGGGGGTCTGGACTGAGTGGGAACGAAGGATACACACCACAGCCGCTTTAGAGCCTGGAAACAACATCGCTGTTTATTTAGGTGACATCCACCCTCCTAAGCATTCTGACGAGTGGCTTACAGGTTGAAGGCCCCCACCCCACCCCCAAATCATGTCTTTCCCCTTGCTGGCTTGCAGAGGTCCCAGACTGCAAGCCAGGCCCCTGAGGCCTACTGAGCTGCAGCCCTTTGTCATGTCTCTTGACCTCAGAGCGTTCCAGGGCAAAGCCTGCCTGCTGTCAACCTCTTCAGAGCCTAGGGCTGCAGCCCGATCACTTCTTAAGGTCCTCTTTTTGGAGAAGCAAGGAATACCTCCGAAGCCGGGTCCAGTGCTCTTCCTCTTTCACCTTGCTCTTCGCCAGGTTCTGAATACTGTGGGACAGGCAGTTGATGAGAGGAACCTGCTTTGTACTTCGTCCCCACCACTCCCTATTCCCCACCCCCCACCCCGGGCTCCTAGGTCCCCAGGGCAGACCCTGATCACCCTGGGCTGATGAGAAACTCCCCAAATGACACATCTGCTTCCTGTCTGTGTTCTCAGGACTCAGCCTGGTGCACAGAAGGTTCCTGAATCGGCTTTGCAGAAGGAATAATAGGAGTGATGGAAGGTGAATTTATGAACTAAAAGTCTATTTGCAGGACCAACGTTAAATACATCCGAATGCCACTAGTTACGTGTAACATTTCTTGAGCACATACTAGTGACCAGCATTGGGGGAAGTGTTGGAAAGATCAAAGTGACTAAAACAGCTGCCCTCTCCCCCACCACAGTTTAGTGAGGTGATCAGTCACTAAGTCATGTCCGACTCTTTGCGACCCCATGGGCTGTAGGCTGCCAGGCTCCTCTGTCCATGGAATTTCCCAGGCAAGAATATTGGAATGGGTTGCCATTTCCTACTCCAGGGGATCTTCCTGATCCAGGGATCAAACTCTTGTCTCTTGCTGTCTCCTGCATTGGCAGGCAGATTCTTTACCACTAGCGCCACCTGGGAAGCCCAGTTTAGTGAGGTGAAAAGAGGAAAAGAACACTTGTAACAGGAGGCATTTAAGGTGAAGAAAATAGAAGAAAACTGTAGAGAAGAGCACTTCCTGCCTGGGGAGTGCTCCCAGAGGATAAAATTTTTGAGTTGAGTCTTAAAAAAAAAAATTAAGTGCACAGTCAGTGTGGCAGAACCAGAGAAGCCCAGGGTCACCCTTCAGGCTGCATGCAGAGCTGGCCACGGGGAGCAGGCAGGAGAGAGGCGGGCTTCCTTCTGGGGAGGGGGTGCGGCTGCGGCCAGGTTTCCACCTCGGGTGCCTGAGTGAGAGGACAGTGTAAGCTGGCCACGGGGAGCAGGCAGGAGAGAGGCGGGCTTCCTTCTGGGGAGGGGGTGCGGCTGCGGCCAGGTTTCCACCTCGGGTGCCTGAGTGAGCGGACAGTGTTTAAAAGCTCAGAGCAAATGGGAGGAGGGACACTTCTGGGGGAAAGACAAGGACCACAGCTTTGGGTTTGTTTTGCAGCTCTGCCAGTGGGACAGCCACACGGAGATGTCTGGTACTCAGAGCATTAAAGCATTTTTTTTTTAAATGTAAGTAACCTATGCTTTTGCTTTAAAAAAAAAATCAAATGATACAAAAGTGAGTATACAATTAAAAGTAAACCTCCTTCTTACCTCAGACCCTCATTTTCTGTTCCCGAAGAAACTGTAATGAACGGCTCCTTGTAAATCCTTGAAAACCGTTCAGACATACAAGTACAGACATGCATATCATCTCTCATTTTAAACTTAAATGGAAGAGTGCAACACACTCTCTGCCTTTTTCACTGAAAATGTATCCTGGCAGTTGCTTCCTGGCAACACTCAGATCTGCCTCTTTCTCTTTTCCTATTGATGACCCTCGGAGTTTCCAGTCCCCGTGTGTGGGGTGTGTGTGGGGGTCGGTGGGCAGGGGCCAGGCAGAGGGTGTGCAGGCCTTGGCCCCTCACAGCTCATGTGCAAACCCAGCTCCTTCCCTTAGAAGCTGGTGACCCTGGACAGGCGACTTGACCCCTGTCAGCCTTAGCTTCCTGGCTATACTGTGGGGATAAAGTTAACCATAGTAAGAAACAAGATGAGCCTCAAAGTACTTGGCAGAGTGCCTGGTACACAGCAGGTGCTCAGGAGAGGTTAATTCTTTTCATTTTTTTAAAATTGAAGAATAGCTGATTTACAATGTTGTGTGAAATCCTGCTGGACAGCACAGTGATTCAGTTACATCCCGCCCCTCGGCAAAGCCTGAGGGAGGGGGTGAGAACATCCCACTGCACAACTTCCATTTGGCTAAAAAGGCAACCAAAATTACTCCTAACCAAAGACAAATCAGGCAAAATGATTTACAACACATTAATAAAGAACTCTTTAAAATCAAAAGAAAATGAGGACTTCCTTGGTGGTCAGTGGCTAGGAATTCCCACAACAAGTGCAGGGGGCCCGTGTTCGTTCCCTGGTCAGAGAATCAGATCCCATGTGTCACAGCTAAGACCTGGCACAGCCATATACGTAAATAAATTAAAAAGAACTCACCCATGAGAAAGAGCCAGGTCAATTTGCAGAAGGAGACAGAGAAACATAGAATAGATACAACATAAAGATGCTCAGCCTCCTTAATTTCCAAATTAAAATAGTTACGAACTATCAATTTTGTCCCTCATTTCTTGGCCAGTCTGGGGAGGGGGTAAGGATGCAGGGTGAATCTGCCCTTTCAGACATACCTCCCCCGTAATTCTGAAAGCCCACCTCCAATTTATCCCACAGAAATACTAGGAAAAACTCACAAAAATGACTGTGGGAGGATAATGGCTGGGAAATGGGGCCAGAGTGACTCCCGTGGTGGAGGCTGCAGTGGGCTGGGGCACAGATGGGGGAAGAGGGCTCAGGAGTGGGGTGTAGTCACAGGGAACCAGGCTCTGGGCAGAGGAGGAATAAGGCGGCTCAGAACTGGGAAGGCGCTGGCTTATTTCCTAACTTGGGAATGCAGTGGGGACACATGCCTGTGACTAAGACAATGGAGGGAAGAGGTCACCGACCCGATGGACAAGAAGGTCTGGGTGCCTGGGGAAGGAGATAGCCGTGGGTATGAGCAGGACACCACTTTCTCTGAATCAGGAGGGAGATAGGGTGTGGGGGTGGGGGTGACCTGGGTGAGAGGGCAGCCAAGGTCCTGGGTGCTTTGGGAAGTGGGAGGCAAGTTTATCCACCAAGGGCACCTCAGAGGTGTGGGAAGCACGTGAAAGCTGGGCGGGTGGCTCTCGTGGCACCAGTGCCCTTGCCTTTGGCTGAGTGCGGCGCTCAGCGATGAGGAGGGACCTGGGAGGATGCCTGCCCCCTGAGGCTAGGTACAGACTGTCCCCGGGGACAGCCTCTCTGGTGTTCCAGACACCCTCCCTCCACCATCAGCAAAGAAAGAGTTTTCCTTCTCCATGATGGCATAACAAATATGACTGAAGTCTATTGTTTTGAAGCAATGTGTGTGCATCCAACTTCCAAAAAGATGGGCTGTCCATCTGCAAAGTGGGAGAGCAGATGGAACATCTGTAAGGCCTCAGGCAAGACCTCTGAATTCCAGTAGCCTTACAGCGTGCACATGTGGGGTCTATGGGTCTATAAATCATTTTCCAGAGGTTCGTTCCTCTGTTTCTCGAGAAAAGCAGAACTTCCCTGGTGGTGCAGTAGTTAAGAGTTTGCCTGCCAATGCAGGGGACACGGGTTCAATTCCTCATCTGGGAAGATTCCACATGCTGTGGGGCAGCTAAAGCCCATGTGCCTCAGTGTGCCTCAGCTGCTGAAGCCTGTGTGCCCTGGAACCCTTGCACCGCAGCTGGAGAGAAGCCCCTACTTGCTACAACTAAAGAAAGCCCGAGTAGAGCAACAAAGACCCAGCACAGCCAAAGTAAAATAAATATATTAGTTAATCAATTAATAATAAAAGAGAGGCAAAGGAAGGTTAGGACGGGCCCATGATTTCCCTCCTAGGGGTAATAAAGACCGGGCAATGGGTGTATTCTTCCTCCACCCTCAAGGGAAATGTCATCTGGTGTCCACACGGGATCTGCCCAATCCCTCGCCAAGGGACTGTGTGCCTTGCAGATGTGGGACTGTTGGGTCAGCCCAGAAGCCCACCTTCTGCTTGGCTACAGGGAATAAAGGGGCATGGAGGGAAGAAACAGGGGTGGGGGGGGGCGGTTTCTGGCAGCGTCCTATGTCCTATAATTTCTGTCTTGTGATCAAAAGTCTGACCCAGCCAAGACGGCGGACTTGACATCAGGGAGTGGAACCAGAAGGAATGGTGCCCTGGAGGCCCAGGATGGATGGGAACAGAAGCCAGGCCTGTGGCAGGGTTGGGGTGGTGCACTGGTGCTAACTGGCCTTCTTGCCAAGTCCAAAAGGCGTGCTTCAGTTTCACAGTGGCTATTTATAAAAGTCCCAAGTGCAGGTTTTGCAAAAACACTTTGGACAGAGTATCTTAAGTTTGAACTCTGAATCTATTGCCCCATAAATCCATTGCCTTCAAGTTTCACCTAGTTTTAGGGCCAAGTGAAACTGTTTCAGTCACAAGGAGTAAACAGAGACCAAAAAAATGATTAAAATCCTCGGACATATTTATGTGCAAGAAACAAAGAATAAAATGTTAATGACAGAATCTAGGTTGTGGGAATATAGATGCTTACTGACTTTTTTTCAAAACTGAGGTCTATTTAACATAATAAAGTATTGGAGGGAGGATACTCTTTGGAAAAGCCCCAGATATCAGACCTCAGAGCAAGTAGAACAAGGAAAGTGGAAACAGCTCAGTCGTGTCTGACTCTTTGCGACCCTATGGATGTAGCCTGTCAGGCTCCTCTGTCCATGGGATTTTTCAGGCAAGGGTACTGGAGTGGGTTTGCCATTCCCTTCTCCAGGGGACCTTCCCGACCCAGGGATCGAACCCGGGTCTCCTGCACTGCAGGCAGATTCTTTACTGTCTGAGCCACCAGGGAACAGGAAATGCCTTGTCTAAATCAGTGTTTCCTAATTTATCTCTGGGACCTCGAGGGAAATGATTGAATCCTGTGATCAGGCCCAAGTAATCATCCCTTCAAGCTGAGCTGCCCCAGCCACACCATGCAACGCCTCCCAGCTCCTGCTGGGTCCTTGGACCCAGGGAGCACCTCCCTGAACTTTTCCCTTCCCCAAGCTCCCACTAATTGTTCAGCCCTGAGCCCTGCACCTGGGCCCCCAGCCCCCAACCTGGTCAGCCCTGCTGACTCCGGCCCACTTCCCAGCAGAAGGTTCCCTGGGAGGCAGGCCCTTCCATCCCACCCCACTTCTGCAGTCCCTCCCGGGGAGGGGCTAGGATGTGGGACCTAGGAGCTAAGATGTGTTGATAAGGGAAGAGACACCGTTGGGAAGGGGAGATAGAGGAAGCCTTTCTATACCCGATGGGGGCCAGGATGGGTCTCTGGAGACTGGAGGGGGTCAGGGCAGAAGGGACTGCCTTCTTAAGAGAGCAGACCCAGCCATGGGGGAGTGGGTAAGGATATTATAGACACCCCTCCCATGGAAATTTATAAACATAGACATTAAAAACCAGAGCAATAAGGAAGTTTTTCTTAAAATTAAAAAGTCATTAAGTTGTATTCTGGAGTGACATAAAGCCAGATGAAAAAAGTGAACATGATCTCAACATAGTAGAAATGCTAATGATAAAATCTTAAGGAAATCTAGTGATGCATTATTTAATTTAATAAAGAAATTAACTTTTCTTTATTGTCCTGTTTCCCAAATTTCTATAAGTGTATATATATATATATATATAAAGCTTAGAAGACTGAGCACTGAAGAATCGATGCTTTGGAACTATGGTGCTGGAGAAGACTCTGGAGAGTTCCTCGGACTAAAGGAGATTCAACCTGTCAATCCTAAAGGAAATCAGCCCTGAATATTCATTGGAAGGACTGATGCTGAAGCTGAAGCTTCAATACTTTGTCCACCAGATGCAAAGAGCTGACTCATTAGAAAAGAATCTGATGTTGGGAAAGATTGAGGGCAGGAGGCAAAGGGGGCAACAGAGGATGAGATGGCTGGATGGCATCACCAACTCAATGGACATGAGTTGGAGCAAACTCTGGGAGATAGTGAAGGACAGGGAAGCCTGGCATGCTGCAGTCCATGGGGTCGCAAAGAGTCAGACACCACTGAGCAACTGAACAACAACATAAAGCTGAGAAATAATGAGTCACATTTTTTCAGTGAGTAATTACCCTGTTATGGTAGTAGCTCTACATGAGAAGCAAACTTATCAGGCTAAGCAGGGTTAGTTAAGCAGATGTCTCAGTGGTAACGTCCACTTGTGCCCCGACTGAGGGAGGAAATGGTCAGGGGCTAAGGCATCCTGAGTTGCTCAGGTCTTCGGCTGCCAGGCAGGAGGTGAGCTGCCCAGAGCTGGAGCCGCTGGCCTCTGGTCCCTTCCCACTGGGAGGGCAGTCAGTTGGCTTTTGGGTGAAGTGGGAAGGCACACCCTTCCTAGGCTGGTGAAAGGAGGGGGTTAGACAGAGAGGACAGAAAAGGGAACATGCTCATTAAACAACTTCTCTGAGCCTTATCAAGCAAGAGCACCAGGAAGTTCCACACCATGACCCTCAACCCAGGAGAATGGCCCCACTACAGCCATGACCTGACCTCATTCTCTTGACTTTTTTTTTTAAAGCCATTGTTTGAAATTTTCCACAAACATTCATATGTTGGGTAGAAAAGTTGCAAATAGGAAAAAAACAAAGAAAAAACATCACACATGCTTCATTATCCAATATAATGTTGTGGATGGATTAGAAGAGACCCCAACTGGACTTCCCTGGTGATCCAGTGGTTACAAATCTGCCTGCCAATGCAGGGGACATAGATTTGATCCCTGGTCCGGGGAGATTCCACATGCCTCAGAGCAACTAAGCCCGTGGGCCTCAACTACTAAGCACTCACTCTAGAGCCTGGGACCGCAACTACTGAAGCTCATGCGCTTAGAGCCCCTGCTCCACAACGAGGGAATCCACTGCAATGAGAAGCCCTCACAGCGCAACTAGAGAAAGTCCCGCATGCAGCAATGAAGACCCAGTGCAGCCAAAAATAAATAAGTAAATCAATGAAATTTTTAAAAAAGAGACCCCTGCTTTCTCAGGATGGACTGAATACCATTAATGATGCTTTTATAGCAGGAAGGTGGAGAAGGCAATGGCAACCCACCAGTACTCTTGCCTGGAAAATCCCATAGACGGAGGAGCCTGGTAGGCTGCAGTCCGTGGGGTTGCTAAGAGTCAGACACGACTGAGCGACTTTACTTTCACTTTTCACTTTCATGCATTGGAGAAGGCAATGGCAACCCACTCCAGTGTTCTTGCCTGGAGAATCCCAGGGATGGCGGAGCCTGGTGGGCTGCTGTCTATGGGGTCACACAGGGTTGGACACGACTGAAGCGACTTAGCCGCAGCAGCATAGCAGGAAGGAACACAAGCAGAGTCCCCTTGGGGCTGGGGGTTACAGACGGGGAAAGAGGAGAGGTGTATCACGTAATTGTTTACATGGATCATGGAGAAAGGAAAGGGGGCTCAGACAAGGGGCTGGCGAACACTTTCCCTACAAGGCCAGCTAGGACGTGATTCAGGCTGTGAGGGTCACAGCGTCTCTGCTGCAGCTGCTCAGCTCCTCTGTAACTCTCACATAAGCAGATGGGACATAAAGCAGTGGGCGTGGTGTCTTCCAGTCAAACTCTATTCACAAAAACAGGCACTGGGCCAAATTTGGCTGTAGTTTGCCAACCCCTGTCTTAGATGACCATGTCTGATAATCTTAAAAAAAAAAGAAAGAAAAGAAAAAGCAACAAGAAAAGACAGCCTTGACAGGAAGAAAACACCAAATTGCAGCCTTTCTTTTCTCCCAGTCTGAATTCACTACTCCTTTTCTTCCAATCTGAATGGGATTTAAATGCCGAAAAGGATCTTATGATCAAGGAAACCACTTATTCCATGGTCCAGGGACCACCCCAGGTGCAGAGACCCAGAACTTTACCTCTTTTGGAAGAATTTCTCGCATCTCTCCTCCAGGGGCAGTGCCTGGGCAAATGTTGGGTGGTCCAATATGCTAGCTTGAGGAATGGTGCAGTTTCTTGAGAAGTTTTCTAGGAGTGGGTAGTCCTCAAAATTAAAATAGAAAATAGAATTTGGGATGTCCTCAGCTTTGCTGGCAGATCCATTTTCATCTGGATGGTCTCCTGGGACAAAACAGGACCATGCTGTTCTGTTACAGTGATTACCTTTTCCATGCGCCTTGCGGTCAGGGTGGGTGTGAGGGGGCTGCTCTCAGCTAACAAAGACTGGATCACTGGGGTTGGGCTAAGAGGGCCTCACTTGATCTGGAGGAGCAGGAGTCCAGATGGGAGGCTTGCCCGGCATTTTATCTAAGTGCCAGTGAGGACTGAGTGGCGGTGTCCTGGCCTGTGGGCGCCGCGATGAGGAGTGGGGAGGAGACTGGATGGGGTCACCCTGTGCTTTACGCGAGGACTGAGAGGGTTGGAGGTGGTCAGCAGGCCACAGGTCTGGGCGGCAGCCCTCACGGTCCCCCTCCGTACCTCGGAGCAGGAAACACGGGTGGTGTAAAGACACGACAAACACTGGGTTCCAGGGGGCCGCCAGGGAGTAGGATCTGGGGGGAGCAAAGGAGCAGATGATCTGCGACTTGGCCACGTTCATGAGGAACACAGAGCCGTCTCTGGAAAAGGTCAGCACCTGGGGAGCAAAGAGATGGTGAATGGGGACTTCTCCAGTCTGTCACTCATCCCATTGCGAAATAAGAAAAGCAGCTAGAAATAAAAAACAAATGGAGAATTTATTCACCCTTGGGCACCCAGCCTCTGGATCCAGCTAGAGCCGTTCAGGGGGCAGCAGGAAAGTGTGTGTCTGCTCCTGTGGAGCTGCCGGCAGCAGTGGTAAAGAACCCGCCTGCGGGGGCTCACCTGTCTTCCCCACTGAACTGTGAGCTCCACGAGGGCAGATGCTTTCTCCTCCCAATCTGTGCCCAAAGCCCAGCACACAACAGGCCTTCAGCAGAGATTTTTTGGAAGGAATAATGAATACATTCACTTAAAGAAGAATGAGGGGCCTGAAGAACCTACCATGCCAGGTAAGGCCTGGACCGGAGCCACGGCACAGATGGCTTCATCCAGGTACTTCACTGGCCTGTAGCAAACAGACACACAGACATCCAGACTGGGGGAGCTTTCAAGTTTTGCCATCCTCTCCTAGGCATATACCTATATCCAATACAGACAAGTTCTTCTCTAGAAGCATCAGGAGGTATGTCAGAGATGTTCACAGTAGCAAAAACTGGGAACCATCTAAATATTCATTGGTAGGAGAGTACTTAAGTAATTGTGTTACATTATATGATGGGATACTATATAGCAATGAAAATAAAAGAGCTGGAGCTGCATACCACATGTACCATTCTCCTGAACAATACTGCAAAGCAAGTCACAGAATAAATGGCACTGGAAAACAAATTGGAGAATACACAGAATATGATCCCATTAGCAAGTTCCCTAAAATATGCACAGCTGGACTGTATATGACTTGAAGATACAGTCATATGAATGTGGTTAATTCTTGAAGGAAAACAAAGAAATGATGAATTTAGGAAAACAGTGTGGTAGATTGAAAAAAATTAGACATCATATTTGGCAGTAACTCCCATTTAAAAAAAGGTGGAGTCTATTATACAGAGTGCAGTAAGTCAGAAAGAGAAAAACAAATATTGAATATTAATGCATATATATGGAATTAAAAAGATGGTCTGGTGAATCTGTTATGGTACAGCAATGGAGACAGACAAAGAGAACAGGCTTGTGGACACAGGGCGGGGAAGGAGAGGGTGGGATGAATGGAGAGATTTGCATGGACACATATACACTAACATATGTAAAACAGAGAGTCACTGGGAATGTGCTGCATGACTCGGGGAATTCAAACAGAGGCTCTGTGACAACCTAGAGGGGTGGGATGGAATGGGAGGTGGGAGGGAGGCTCAAGAGGGAGGGGACAGATGTGTACCTGTGGCCAATACATGTTGACATATGGCAGAGACCAACACAATACCGTGATTATCCCTCAATTAAAAATAAATAAATCAAGGGGGAAAATGTTGAGTCTGCTTTTCCACTGCTTAAATGTGGGCATGGCCAGATGACATGCTGTGCCCAGTGTTACACAAGCAGTGCCCAAGGCTTGGAAAGCATCAGTGAGCTTCGATGGTGGCTGAGAGCCCTGAGGTTTACTAAGGAGCCTGAGACAGCCTGCAGGAGAGGCTGCAAGGAGGAGTGCCTTGGCCACCAGCTGCCAGCTGCCTGTATGTGAGTAAGGCCCACTAGTCGGCCCCTTGCCCATGGGCATCTGTGAGAGTCAAGGCAAGCCCAGAGGAGGGATTGTCCAACTGAGCCCAGCCCCAAGTGCTGACCTACAGCATCAGAGGCTAAATGGTGACTGTTTCCTTAAGTCGTTAAATTGTGGAATGGTTTGTTATATGCAGCAATAGATAATTAAAATCAACCCTGAATATTCATTGGAAGGACTGATGCTGAGGCTGAAGCTCCAGTATTGTGGCCACCTGATGTGAAGAGCCGATTCATCGGAAAAGACCCTGATGGTGGGAAAGATTGAGGGCAGGAGGAGGAGGGGACGACAGAGGATGAGATGGTTAGATGGCATCATCAACTCAAAGGACATGACTTTGAGCAAACTCTGAGAGATGGTGAAGGACAGAGAAGCCTGACATGCTGCAGTCCATAGGGTTGCAGAGAGTTAGACACGATTTAGCGACTGAACAACAACCACTTTTGAGGTGGAGGAGAGAAGGATGTGATCCAGGAGAGGCTCACAGAGAGCCTTATCTGAATTGGAGATGATCTATTTCTTAAGCTTGGTGATGGGGACAGTGGAGTTCCCACCCCCCACCCATATGTATGCTAAATACACACCCTCACATGTACTATACAGGTTATTTGCATACATAAAATATTTCACAATTTAAAAGAGGGAGGTTTTTGAAGAAACTGATTACAAACAATATTTTGGCAAAAACGACCCTCTTCCTGGTCACGTGGGATAGGAAAGATGTTATTTGTGCCAACACACAATTTATATACATAGAACTCATATATATATCTCCACATGTCTAGGGTTGGCCAAAAAGTTCATTTGGGTTCTTCCATAAAATGTTGCAGAAAATAAACCCAAACGAACTTTTCAGTGGCCCAATAAATGATTGTGATTCTGAGAAGCCCATTGAGACAGTGATGACCTCTGAGAGGTTGTTTTGGTTTTTTACTACTAAATAGGGCACTATGTCGGGCAGATCATGAACCCCGCCCTTCCCCCAAACCACCCACCTCTCCACCAGCAGACTGATGGTGGAGTTCTGGACCCCCGAGGCTGTCACCAGATGGAGAGACGCGTCTGTACACAGCACCACGCATTTCATGTGGCATTTCACTGAGCCCTCCGGATACACATTCTGCCCTTTGTGGACTAGGAAGTATTTCAGGAAGTGGATGCTTTGGCAGAAGCACTTTTCAGGAAGAGCAACGACTCCAAGAGTGAGTCCTGGAGGAAGGGAGGGCACGAGCAGGTCAGGCAAGGGGCAGAGGGAGGCAGCCGCGGGCGCGAGGTCTGTGACCAGCGAGTGTGTGAGTGACAGGAAGGCAAAACCAAGCACTGAGGGGCTTCCCTGGTGGTCCAGTGGCTAAGAACCCACCTTCCAGGGCTCGGGATGCGGGGTTTGATCCCTAGCTGGGGAACTAAGATCCCGCGGGCCAACTAAGCGCGCACGCCACAGCTTAGAGACTCCTGTGTGCTGCAGGAAGGACCCAGGAAAACCAGAAGAAAAACCAAACAAAACCCAGGCCGCGAGCATCCTTCAGAGTGAAGGCAGCCTATCCACTAGGCTGTCCGTGTTTTAACTAACATTTCCTACATAAAGGAATTCATATATAACGCCCACTGGGAGAAGGGAGCCCCCCCCCTTCAGGAGGACCCCTAAATATGTGGGGGAACCAAACCCAAGGAAGGGTATACAAGTCAGCACTGGCGCAGAAGGGAGGAAGCGTCAACCCGGGCAGGTCCGGGTGTGCAATGGAGGCGCGGCGGTGGAGGGCGGGGCGGGGCTTACCTTGCGCCAGGTCCCAGAGCGAGAGCACGCCGTCCTCGCAGGCCAGCACCAGGTAGGAAGAGCAGGGACTGAGCTGGGACCCCACGATGGGCGCAGCGCACGGCCACACGCCCTCGGGGTCTAGAGGGGAGGACGCTACTCACCAGGCCGCCCCCAGACCCCCGCGCCCACCCCCGCCGCCACCTGGACGGCCTGAGACCCAGACTGGTCTGCCTGTCTGGGCTCACCATCTCTCGCCTATCTGTGCCATGCTGTCTCCTTCCTCAGCATAATAAGTTCTGTGATTATTATATTACAGTTAACAGGGATTGGGGCTTTCCTGGTGGGTCAATGGGAAGGAATCCGCCTGCCAAGCAGGACACATGGGTTTGATCCCTGGATTGGAAAGATTCCCTGGAGAAGGAAATGGCAATCCACCTCCCTATTCTCCTGCAGAATCCCATGGACAGAGGAGCCTGGAGGGCTACAGTCCACGGGATCGCAAAAGAGCGCCACACGACCGAGCAACTGAGCGTGGGCAGGAACACTGAATGAGTGCTTACTAGGTGCTAAGCACTGGAGCAGGCACTTTATGGGCTTCATTTCATTTAATTCTCACAAGGATCCTATGAGGTGGGTCCTATTAGAACCCACATTTTACAGATGAGCAGAATGAGGCAGAGAAGGAAGTGACTTGCCCAGTCACAAGAGCCAGTCAGTACAGAAGTGGAGATTAGAAGCCAGGTTTCCTGGGAGAGGGATGGAAGGATAGAAATTCTTCCTTTGTGAGTTTTTAAACATTACTTCCAAATATAACTCTGAAGGACCGCATAGTGTTAGCTCAAGAAATTCACACAAAGTGAATTTGCTCATGGAACTGCCTCTCTAAGTTTGTCAAAAACAAACTACCACCACTCATATTTCTTAAGTGCCTTTCAACTTCAAAAGAGCCCTCACATAGAGAAACTGGATTTTGCTATTCACGACTAACGCGTGCAGTACATAAGGATGGTGTAACTGAGTGGTTTTCTGCTTTGGGTGAGAAAACGGGACTGGGGCATCAGGTGACCGGCCTGAAACCACATAGACTGCAGACAGGTGCTGGGACCAAGCCCCCCTTTTTTTACCTTCACTGCCTAAGGAGACCTATAAACAGATGGGGCTCTGTCCCCATGGACATCATCTTTAAAAACATGACAGTTGAGAGACACAGCCTTGGGGGTCACACCACAGCTAGCAAGCCACCCACTCTGTTTGCACAGCTCTGGTCCCCTAAAAGCCACGCGGCTGTCATTCACGTGCTCTTGGTTAAGCTGACGAAGGACAAGAGCCCTGAGCTTAGGCGACTCCCATCCCGGCAGTAAAGTACCAGCTTTATCCTTCAGCGTCCGGTTAAGTGAATAGAAGAAAAAGTTGTGATGGTCGGTCCAGTGTACACCAAGGACACAGGCGAGCCCTGGGGAAGAAGAGAGGAAAGGGGCGTCATGGAAGGAGTCTGGGCGGACTTTGATTTGGGTGGAGGGGTTTGCCTAGGAGGAGGTCAGTTTGAAATGGTTTGTGCCAATGGGTAGCACCCAACTGAGGGGTGAGCTACCAGCTGAGGGGCTGGGCACCCCCAGGAGGGCTGCTCCTGGGGCCAACTCATCTTCCTGTGCAGGGAGGATGGTCACTACTACCCCTTGGCTGCTTTCACATCTTCTAGATAAATTCCTGTCCACTAGGCTGTCAGTGTTTTAACTAACCTTTTCTACAGAAAGGAATTCATATCCAGAGAGTTGGATCATAAAAAAGGCTGAGTGCCAAAAAATTGATGCTTTTGGGCTGTGGTGCTGGAGAAGACTCATGAGAGTCCCTTGGACTGCAAGGAGATCAAACCAGTCAATCCTAAAGGAAATCAACCCTGAATATTCATTGGAAGGACTGAGGTGAAAGCTGAAGCTCCATTACTTTGACCACCTGATGAGAAGAACTGGTCATTGGAAAAGATCCTGATGCTGGGAAAGATTGAGGGCAGGAGAAGGGGGTGACAGAAGATGAGATGGTTGGATGGCATCATTGACTTAATGGACATGAGTTTGAGCAAACTCCGGGAGATGGTGAAGGACAGGGAAGGCTGGCGTGCTGTAGTTTATAGGGTTGCAAAGAGGCAGACACAACTTAAGAGGCTGAACAACAACAAAAATCCAGAAGCAGCCTGGTGGGATGTGTACACACCGTCCTCTGTGGCAGCTCACACCCTGAAGACGGTGCCAGTGTCCATCATCAAGGAATCTGGGCTCAGGGGTCACAGGTGCAACTAGAAACTGTTAAGCTGCAGCTGGCAACCCACTTTCCACCTCCTTCCCTCCCAGCAGACAGCATGTGCTGAGCAGAGCTTCTCTAGGAGGGCTTGCTGGGCATTCCCCCGTGATGACCACCTGCTTCCCCTTCCTTTACCTGGGGGTCTCTTGACTCCCGCTGGCATTGGGATTACGCGACTGGGAAGGAGGAAGTAGAATGTAGCCATACTGGGAAAGAAAGAGACATTGGTCAGAGCCGTGGGGGACTCCTTGGCAAAGAGAAGTGCTGGCAGCATCTTGGTACTAAGGCCAGAAATGAGTAGTTCAGAAGGACCTTCCAGGGCGTTCAGGGCCATGAAGCAAATCATATTCTATGTGCTGGTCCTGGTGGGTGTGGGCCCTTGGAGTTTGGTGAGGGTTGGACAGGCAGAGTGGTGGGAGTTAGCCCAGGCCAGGAGGAGCACCCAGTATGGGCAGAGGCATTCCTGTCCTGGGGGAAGACCCCTTCATGATCAGACTTGGGTGAAGTACATAAATGCTCCTATCCCGGGTATACTGAGTTTTTACTTTTTTTTTTTTTTTTAGTGTCTGTTAGGGCCTAGCTCGGAGAAGGCAATGGCACCCCACTCCAGTACTCTTGCCTGGAAAATCCCATGGACAGAGGAACCTGGTAGGCTGCAGTCCATGGGGTCAATAAGAGTCAGACTCGACTGAGCGACTTCACTTTCACTTTTCACTTTCATGCATTGGAGAAGGAAATGGCAACCCACTCCAGTGTTCTTGCCTGGAGAATCCCAGGGACAGGGGAGCCTGGTGGCTGCCGTCTATGGAGTCGCACAGAGTCGGACACGACTGAAGCGACTTAGCAGCAGCAGCAGCAGCAGCAGGGCCTAGCTAGCCCTGGGACTTTGTGTGAAGTGAGAAAATTCAGGTCCACATGACAGCAAGATGAGAGGTTTCACTCCCCATGTGAAGTAAGAACATTTCTGAGACCTGCAATAGTTGTGAGGAGAGCTGGCTGCTGAACCTGCTCTACCAGATACTTCAAGGACTCCGGCTCAGGTTTTACAATAACTGAGGCCAACCTGCTCACTGAGATTAGAAAGTAGCATGTTTTAACAATTACACACTAATGTATTACATTTAGAAAGACTGGATGGAAGTAGAAGAAAATGTTATTAGTGGTCAATTTTCTTTTCCTCTCTAGGATCATCTGTGTTATCTAGATAATCAGGAAAACAATTTTTTTTAAGGAGATGCTATCATACAAAAAAATTATAAAATAGGGAGTTCCCTGGTGGTCTAGTGGTTAGGATTTGGTGTTTTCACTGCCATGATCTGGGTTCAACCCCTGGTCAGGGAACTGAGATCCTGTAAGCAGTGCTGGATGGCCCTCAACCCCCGCCCCCAAGAAAAGTTCTAAAACTCTACTTTTCATCTCCACAGACGCCTATTCCTTCTTTAATTCTATGTTATCATGCTTTGTTCTAATTATATTTAAACAACCTCCATCCAACTTTTCAAAAGATTTTGCTGAAGTTCTCAGAGAAGTCCCGCAAACCATCAAGAGCTTTGAGACTCTGAATTAATTCAGGTCCTTGGGTTGATTTCTGCATGTGCTCACGGAGGAGAAGGTCCCAGGGAGGGGTCGTTCTGGCCTCACCCCCGCGCCCCTCACCTCCAGGCTCACCTGATCGGCTCAGGCTCCCATTCCCCATCCAGGTACTTCTTGTAGGTGGCTTTTAAGATTGCCTCCCGCTTCTCCCACTGGCTTGCCTTGATGTAGTGATTCTGCCCAGAGCCCAGCCCGCGGCAGCCTGCTATCTTTGCAAAGGCTTCCAGGGGGCTCTTAAATGTGGTACCTAGGTTGAAAATATTCCAGCATTGGTTAAACCTTCTGACGTCCTCCTTCCTGGTTTCTCCAGGCAATATTTCTCCATATTTCTCTTTATTTCTCCATATGGCAGTGGCCATGTGGACAACAAGCACCACTTACTGAAATGACCATTCACTGCTCTGTAGCACCACCTTCATCAGCTATCAAGGGTCTATTTCGGCCTAACTCTGTCCTGCCCTCTCGACCCTGTGTTTTTCATCTAATCTTTAAATCTACTATATTCTATCAACTATTTCTATATTTTATATATATGTTTCCATCTATTATTCACTCATCTCTTTTTCTACCTTGTTTTAATTACTGTGACTTTGTAATAAATCTTGATGGAGAAATCATACCACCATGTTCTTCTATGAGAGTGAATTGTCTATTCTTGGTCTTTTGCATTTGTCTCTTTGTTTTTATTTTATTATTATTATTTTTTTTGTCTCTTTGTTTTTAATGGCTGCAAAGTACTCTGAGTGTACCAGATTTACCTCGTTACTCTTATGCCTCTATAAATAGCAGTGCAGTAAACATCCTTGTAGGTACATCTCTAAGGTTGTGTGTGAACATTGAGAGGATAGACTGTATGTCCTCTGTCTACAGTGTGGACTTACGCCTCTGGTCCTCTTAGCCAACTCCCACTTAATTCTTTTTTTTTTTTTTTTAATCCCACTTAATTCTTAAAACCTTCTCAGATGTTCCTTCTTCTGATAGAGCCTCTAGTTAGTTACTCCTTCCTCTATGATTTTATGGTCCTGGATGTCCCCACTGCTGCACTTAATCAAATCCTACTATGATGGTTTCCTCCTATTCTCTCTTTGTTCACCCGCAGCTTCTAGAGCACCGGAGATGTGTCTTACTCATCTTGGTGCCTGGTACATTACTGGCCCTCAGCAAATACTGGTGAATGAAGTAACACAGGAATGTAGGAATGAGTGAACTCCACCAGCACTCAGGAAAGGTATCTCTTTCCAATTCTTTTAGTTAATTGTATCCTTGTAACATTTATATTTTTAATCTTTAGGTCCCAGAGTTTATGACTTATAAATCAGATATTGCTGCTAATGAATGAAAAATGTGGAGAAAGAGAAAGAAAAAACCTAAGAAATCAATGGCAAAAGGAAAAACAGTATTCATGGAGTTATACGTACCTGTAATTGGTTTGGGTGGTTTGATTTTCATTATTTGAACTGGAAGACTCAACTTAAAATCTCCTCTAAAAGAAATGTTCATATCCTACAATAAGGAAAAAGCACAGGTAATAAGCCAACAAAGAAGATAAAACAGGATCATTAGAAACACTCATTTCAAAAGAAGGTGAAAAAAGAAGAAAAACAAAGAAAAACAGGTGGGACAAATATAAACTAAGCAGCAAAGTGGTAGATTTAGACATAAATACATAAAAAATCACATTAAATACAATGGCCTAAATGGCCTAAACACCCCAATTAAAAGGTAGAGTTTGACAGATTGGATTAAAAAGGCAAGACCTAATGATATGCTATCAAAAAGAAATTTATCTTAAATATAAAGATTTAAAAAGTATAGAAAAAATATATCTTATAAACTAATCAAAAGAAAGCTGAGGTTGCTATATTAATATCTGACAAAATAAATTTCTGAGCAAAAAATGTTACCAGAGATCAAAGGGTCATTGAATATAGATAAAATGGTGAATTCTCAAGGAGATATAAAATTCTAAATGTTTCTTGAACCTAATAACAGAGTTTCAAAATACATGAAGCAAAAATTCTTAGTGTGAAAGCAGAAATAAATCTACAATCTCATAGATTTCAACACTCTTCCCTCAATAATTGATAGGATAAGTAGACAAAAAATCAGTGACAGTATAGAGGGGAAAGCACTAAGGATATAGAAGACTTGAATAACTTGGACCAACGACAACCGACTACATGGTCTTTTCAAGTGCACATAGAATACTTAACAGAACTAACCATATTTGGGGCATAAAACATGTCTTAATAAATTGGAAAGGTTTCAAATTATATGAAGTATGTTCTCTGATCACAGTGGAATTCAGTTAGAAACCAGAAAAAAAGAAAGAAAGATAACTAGAACATCTCAAGTATTTGGACACTAAATAATATGCTTCAAAAATAAGCCACTGGTTTAAAAAAAAAGTTAAAAAAAGCAAATTAGGAAGTATTTTCAAAAATGAAAACATATAATATCAAAATTTGAAGGAAGCAACTAAAGCATTACTTAGATGTAAGTTTATAGCACTAAATGCCTATATTATGCTGTGAAGCTCCTAAGGTCTTGGTGCTTGGTACGGGCACACAAATATTTTAGTGGAACAGGATCAAAAGTGTAGAAATGTACATAGGAATGATACTTGTGTTGCAATTGCTATTTTTAAAAGATAGATCAAAGTAGATCTCTTCCTTGCTCCATTCACAAAAGAAACTACCATGGGTATAAAAGGGTGAAATGTGCAAAAAAAAAAACAACTACGAAGTATTAGAAGAAAGCACAGAAGAATTTATTTATAGTCTTGAGATAGAGAAAGCCTTCTTAAGTGCAATGGTTGTAAAGAAAAGGTTAAAAATTCTGACTATAACAGAATCTAAAATGTCTTTACAACAGAAAAGCACATAAAGTAAAAAAGGGAAACAACAGATTGGAAGAAAATATGCAATTGGCAAAAAATTCACAGGCAATTCACAGAAGACAAAACCTCAATAGCCAATAAAAATATGAGGAAATTAATGAAAATTAACATAAGACACTATTTTGTTTCATCAGTTTGCACAAAAAATTAATTAATAATATCAAGGTTAACCAGGCTGTGGAGAAATTGATTGAATGTAAATTGTCATGCCATTTTTGGAGGACAATTTAACAGGATCTGTATTAAAACTAAAATTGCAGACATTCTTCAGAAGCACTCGGGTACACAAAGAGTTTACAAAGATTTTCACTGCGTTATATAAAAGCCACAAGTTAGGAAAACCTTCAATATCATCAATGGATGAACAACCAAATAAACTATGGTATATCTTTAGTAGGAATAGAACAGAGGATGTCAAAATAACAAGGTAGGTTTGTTTGACATTGCAAAACTTTGCCAATAAGTTGATTAGTATAAAAATGCAAGTTCATAGGAAAATCTATATAGTATGATGCCACTTATATAGAAGAAAATTCCCATAAAATGAAAGTATATTTTTCAAAATAAACTGGTATCTGAATCCAACTATATATTAAAGGCCTATAGAAAACACACACCAAGCTAATAATGGTGATGATCTCAGGAGAGGGCTGCTGAGTCTGCATTACTTGGTTCTTCCCAAAACGATGTGTTCACATAGCATTTGTATAATTTGAGACAAAACGTAATTTTAAAAGGGATAAAGGAAAGGCCTCTGGAGAGAGACTTCCATTTGGAAGTTGACCATTTCGCTTGATAGGCTTGAATCATAAGAGCTAAGCCTCTGGAAAGCATGCTGCGCTCTTTGCCTCAGAGGCAGAGTCAGGAAGCTCCAGGGAAGCCAGTCTGTGCTCTGCTCTATCCCAATACAAAGGTGACCTCCAAACCAAAATAGAACAAAAAACCCCAAACACCAGTTTGGTGGATTGGACTGCTTACATTGGCAAAGGCAAGTTGGATTCTATGGGGCCTGAAGTATATATGATTTAGGGGTCTCTGTAAGAAAGAGAATACAAAGTGCCTATGACCACCTAATACAACTCAGTTTGGGGGCTATTGTGACAGAGGGGAATTTTGAGTGAGAGGAGATGACGGTGATCTTAAGTGATTATGGTTAAAACATGTTACTTTTTCCAATTTTACAAAAGTCCATGGCCATGTGAAAACACTGGTAGGGCCCCTTATCTCAGGGAAACTCACCCCTGAACAAATGACTTGGGTCAATTATCCTCAAAGATAGGAAGCCATCTTCAAGAGAATGAGGGACAAGATCAAGTCACAGAGAATCTGAAAACAGTGCCCTGGGGAGAATATTTTATCAATATATTTGACATTTAGGGTAACTTTAAAATAAAAAAAAAATTTTCTAACATGCAAGTTAAATCTCTTTGGAGATATTCTTTAAAGTTTCTTACCATATCTAAACTATCTGCAGTCACAGAATCAGGAGTGTTCTGGGGAGAAAAATGAGAAATTAATTCATGATGAGTTTGGTATATGTTCCCCTTCTTCTGTTAATTTTTTGAGTTGCTCCTTCTTTCCCCCAATTACTCTTGTGAGATGTGAACTCATCCCCATAGACATGGAGGGCTAGTATCTGTGCAGTCCTCTGGCCTGTAGATTTTAATACATGATACCTGTTCTCTAGGATCTTAAAATGTATTTGGGAAAAACAAGAAATCATTAGTGACGTTAAGAGAGAATATGAGCAGAAGGGAGGGGGTCAGCTAGGAGACTGTTACAAAAATCTAAGTTAAAGTGAATATTTCTGATTGGCAAAATATATCAGTGAGGTTGACAATTATTATTCATAAGTAACTTTAAATATAATTCACAGTACAAGAGCTACCACTGCAGCAGGCCTTAGTGACTGCCTCTCAGTGTATAGAAACTGAGTGAATTATGGTGAGAAATCACCCCCAGTCCAAGGTGCTTTCCCTCAAAAAATGTATCTGTTGGGCAGTGAGTAGGATGCCATGGGGATGGTTGACAAAAAGAAGCAGAAGGTACAACAACCTAGAAATTTACCATCTAGTTAGGAGAAAAGAACTTTCACGCATAACAGGATAGTATATGAGAAATGTCAAAGAGAGGTACAAAGAATAGATTCTGTGAGAGTTTAGAGGAGGAATGTCTCTGGGCCAGTAACTCTCCCAGAGATACAAAAATCACACCTTGCTACAAAGACATTCACTGGAGAGAAAGGGCATTTATTCAAAGCCACTCAATGTACTTGGCACTGAAAGTGAATCTCAATCTTGGTCTCGTAGATTAATTTCACTAACACTTTATAGCACATAGCACAATATGTTTTAAAGGCGTTCTCAATTGATATTTGTTGTATGCGATGGCAACCCACTCCAGTACTCTTGCCTGGAAAATCCCATGGACAGAGAAGCCTGGTGGGCTACAGTCCATGGGGTCGCGAAGAGTCTGACATGACTGGGCGACTTCACTTTCACACATTGGAGAAAGAAATGGCAACCCACTCCAGTGTTCTTGCCTGGAGAATCCCAGGGATGGCGGAGCCTGGTGGGCTGCCGTCTATGGGGTCGCGCAGAGTCAGACACGACTGAAGCGACTTAGCAGCAGCAGTTGTTGATTAAAAAAATAATAAGTACACTTTGGGAATTCCCTGGTAGTCCAGTGATTAGGACTCTGCACTTCCACTGCGGGGGGCATGGGTTCGATCCCTGGTCGGGGAGCTCAGGTCCTACATGCCACACACAATGCAGCCAATATATATAATAACTGCACATCAGACAGATGAGAAAATTGTCTTAAAATCTTTTTTTGCTTAAATATTGTATTTTAAAGAGATGTCATGAGTCCCAGGGATCACATATAATTAAACTGAAATAGTAGAGTTTTACCTACCTTCTAAGAATAATATAAAGAATACATATATTCCCATATATTTAGAACAACTCCTTTATACCATAATCTGGAGAGTGTAGTGGAATAGGAGACATGGAAGGATTATTTCAGCCCAGGAGGGGAAAAAAATATATCTATTAGTCAGAGTCAAAAAAAGAAAAAGACAACACTCTCCCAGAGAAATGCCTGGGAGTGGTCTTGGTGGAGAGGCAACTCCCAGACAAGAGAGATACCATGTTCCACCATTTAAGACCCCTCTGCTTTTTAACCATCTTATTTTAACCAAAGCAAACTGACTTGAGAGACATAGGCCAGGGTGCCTCTTGTCTGTCTTACAGCCTCCAGACGGGCTCCTTCATCTTGAAATTGCAAGGAGGTGCACTAGATGTGGGCAGGGAGAAACTTATCAGTTGAAGACAGGTGTTACCTACCAATTGCAGCTGCTGTCTGACTTTTTTCTTTGTATTTACGGCGAGTTGGGGGTACTGCACTTCCTTGATCCAAGACTCCTTGGGCAGTTTATACACATCCAGCCAAATGTCCCCGGCTCCTGCATTGGGAAAGAGGAACCACTGAGCAACCGCAAGCAGGCAACGAGTCTCCTCAGAGAAACGGCCCATCTTCTCAGAACCACTGGCACCAGGGCCAGTGGGCAGCTCCGGAACAGCAACTTTGACAAATGGAAGGAGAAAGGAGATGTGGTTCTGCAGCAGTTGTCGCCAGGCCTCACTCACACAGCCCTGAGCGCATCGCCCAGGCCACTGCCTCTAACTGGAGATGGGCTTCTCACCCTCACGGCACTGATGTAACAGTTTTAACCTAACTATCCACACTGCCTGGTCCCCACGTTTTCTAGGTTCCAAATGGTAAATTCCACTGGTGTTTTGTGTTACAGCTATTCCCACCTGGGAAGGACAGGGGCATATACAGAATCAGTAACTGAGAGGGGTATGGCTGACAAAGGGCTAGAACTGAATTGTGAGAGATGCCTCAAGAGAATTCTTCTGACCAATATTTGAGGAGATGACAGCCCATGGGATGGCTGTGAGAACTTTATCTTGTCAAAGCAACATGCTCAGCTTCTGTACTGAATACCTGCCAACCCAGGAAAGGTTACTTTCCTAGAATGGGATTCTGGCTAAATGTTTCCTTAAAAAAGTAATCATATAGACATCTTGTTTTCAGACCTTTGGACTCCAGAGTTGTGAGGGAATAAATGTCTGTAATTTTAAGCCAGCCAGTTTGTGGTACTTTGCTATAACAGCCCTAAGAAACTACTACAGATAGTATAAAAGTTTCCTTTGGTGCATAAAGCATTACAAAATATGTATCTTTCTCCAGTGCCTAACATCTGAGGGACCTGGGGCAAGAATCTAAATAGAGGCCCAGATGCCAAATGTCTAATTATTTAAAAGTTAAAAGTCAAGCTAGAAATCATTTGGATAAAATACATTCTATTACCACAGGAATAATTGCAACAAGCAAGATCCAATGTTGAATGCTAAAACTGGTGGGCAAAACTTTAATGACAAATAGGATATTTCCATAATCTCCAAGTATCTCCCCCTAAATGTTTATCAGTCACTGTGGAGGTTTCAACATAGGTCTCAAAATTCTCTGATCATCCTACATCCAGAAAATGGTGTTTACATTCTCTCCCCTTGAGTGTGGTCTGGACCTAGAGCATGGACAGGGAAAAACAGTCGCTCAACAGTGGAGAAAGCTGGCAGATCACTTTGAGTGATCAGGGTTAACATCAGCAGCATTGCTATCACATACCCCCCAATATAATTCAATGAAAAGAGCATTTCACCTCTGTGAGATCAACCCCCAAATCTTCAACCCCAGTTTGAATCATGAGGAAAAATTCAAACTGAAAATCAGGGCCATTGCACAAAATACCTGATTGGTACTCCGCAAATGTGTTGAGGTCATGAAAAACAAGGTAAGATCAAGACATCACACATACAGGTACAGTGTAAAAAGATGATGACCAAGTGCAATATGATATCCTGTATTGTACCTTGGAGCCAAAAAAATTATCTAGGAAAAACTGGAAAAATCTGAAAAAAAGAAATCTGTAGTTTATTGTATTATACCAACGTTATTTGCTTAATTTTGACAAATGTACCATGGTTATATTAAATGTTGATATTAGGGAAACTGGGTGCAGGATATAAGGGAACTCAGTCATATCTCTGCAACTCTTCCATAAATTATTTCTAAATAAAAGGGTTGGAGGGCTTCCCTTGGCTCAGTGGTAAAGAATCTGCCTGCCAATGCAGGGGACACGAGTTTGATTCCCGGTCTGGGAAGATCCCATGTGGTAAGGAGCAACTAAGCTCCTGTGGTAAGGAGCACCACAACCATCGAGCCTGCACTCTAGAGCCTGGAAGCTGCAACTAGTGAGCCCACATCCTACAACTACTGAAGCCAGTACATCCTAGAGTCTGTGCTCAGCAACAAGAGAACCCACCACAATAAGAAGACCACGCACTGCAACTAGAGAGTAGCCCCTGCTCTTCAAAACTATAGAAAAGCACATGCAGTAACAAAGGCCCAACACATCCAAAAATAAATAAATAAAATTATTTTTAAAAGTAAAATGTTTTTTGGGGAAAGGGATTATTTGGAAGATACTGGAAATCTGAGTCTTCTGAAGAGCCTTTGGTCAGTCTTACCCTGTAGGAGCAAGGCTGCAAAGTTCCCTCCTTTAGAAATCTCCATCTTTATACAGGTGGTTTGCTTGCTGGCGTCCTCCTGAAAAGAAGAGAGAAGCTGATTGAGTAAGTTTAGCCTGATAATAGAGAAGAGTGTATTTCAGGGCTTTTTGTAGTTCACATCAGGAAAAAAATCCTTTTAAAGATTGAGGCATAAAAAGATGCTTCAAATTGCTTCAGATGTTCCATTTTTGTATAGGAATTGGACTAGGTTGCATGTAAAGAAGTAGAACTCAATTTTCCATCTAAAGGATTTTGGACTTATTCCCTGGTTTCATAAATACTCCTGGATCATTTGCAGTGATTTCATACTGTCTGATCTCCTGGTCAGGTTGCAAACCCTACAGACCTATGAATAACTCTTCAAAATGTGTTGAAAAGAGCTCTACATGACAGTGAAAACTCTGGTCAGTTGCTTGAAAAAAAGGCTCTGTCTAGGCTATAGTACTGCCATAGTCTGATTTGGCTCAAACAACATCTATTTCTCATGATCCATGATTTCCAAGGATTTCTGGCAGATTCAGTGTCTGCTAAGACCTGGCTTCCTGGCTCATGGACCGCCTGCCATCTCTGTGTCCTCACATGGTGGAAGGGTTGAGGGAGCTCTCTTGGGCTGTAATTCTACTCATGAGAACTCTGTCCTCATGACCTAATCACCTCCCACAACGGTGATCAGAATTTCAACATGAATTTTAGGGGCACAAAAATATTCAGTCCATATAAAAAAAAATATTCAGTCCATATCAAGTAGAGACTGAATGGAACCTGCTCGAATTTTCAGCAAGGTGAAAAGGCCTCAATGTATACAGATGTGCTATACCTTTCAGGGGCTCTAAGACTAGCAAAATTAGGTGCCTAGAAGAATTAGGCTAGTAAGCTCCCTAAGTTATTTAAGGAGAGGGAGTTTTAAACATTTTGTTTTTCTTTCACTTTCTTGTTTAAAAATGAAAGTATATTTGATGTACAGTATAGTGATTCACAATTTTTAAAGTATATACTCCATTTATAGTTATTATAAAATTTTGGCTATATTCCCCATATTGTTCAAAATATCCTTGTAGCTCATTTTATACATAATAGTTTGTATCTCTTAATTCTGTAATCCTATATTACTCCTCCCTACTTCTCCCTACCCCTGGTAAGTACTAGTTTATTCTCTATATCTGTCTGTTTTTTATTTTTGGTCATATTAACTAGTTTGCTATATTTTTTAGATTCCACATAAAAGTGATACCATACAATATTTGTCTTTGTCTTTTTTTCACTTAGCATAATACCCTCCAAATCCATCCACGTTGCAGCCAATGGCAAAATTTCATTCTTTTTATGGCCTAGTAGTATTCCATTGTGTGTATGTATATATGTATAATTTTGAGTTTACTTTTGTATATAGTGTTAGAGAATGTTTGAATTTCATTCTTTTACATGTAGCTGTCCAGTTTTCCCAGCTACTGAGACTGCCTTTCCTGCATTGTATAGTCTGGCCTCCTTTGTCATAGATTAATGGACCACAACTGCATGGGCTTCCTACCCTGTGTAGTCGGCCCCCGCGTCTGTTTTTGCGCAGCACCCACGGTTTTGATCACTGTGGTTTGTGGTCGAGTATAAACCAGGAATCGTGATTCCTCCAGGTCTTCTCTTCTTCCTCAAACTCGCTTTGACATCTGGGGTCTTTTGTGTATTTCCATACAAATTTTAAAGTTATTTATTCTAGTTCTGTGAAAAATGCCATTGGTATTTTGATAGGGATTGCATTGAATCTGCAGATTGTCTTGGATAGTATGGTCATTTTTACAACATTTTTATTTATATATTTTAATATTAACTTGAAGGTTTTATAGAAATTTCAAATGCACATGAAGACAGAAAATAGTATAGTGAACCCCATATATCCATTACTCAACTTCATCAGTTATAATACATGGGAAATCTTATTTTATTACCTCCTGACTTCATTAAATATTTTTATTTAATTAATCCTAACTCTTAGATATCACTTACTAGCCAGTCTGTTTTCAAATTTCCTCAGTTGTCTCATAAGTGTCTCTCCACAACTGGTTTGTTCAAATCAGGATTCAAATAAAGTCTATGTAGTATATTTAGTTAATTTATCTCTGAAGTCTCTTTTGATTTATAACTGTTACCCCATTTGTTTTTCTTTTTGTCATTTTTTTTGTTGAATAAATCAGGTCATTTGTCCTATAGGTTTTTTTTCACTTTCTGGACTAGACTGATTGCATCCCATGGCATTATTTAATATGTCCTTGGGATGCCTTGTGTTTCCTATAAACAAGTAACCAGATCTAGAGATTTGATTAGATTTAGGTACAATTAAAACAAAAGGCAAGAATACTACACAGGTGTTCTGTGTCTCCCTCCAGCATCACACCAGGAGGCTCATAATAGCGAGCTGGTCTTTCTTTTAATAAAGTTCACATTGATCACTGACAACAGGTGTCATCCTGGCTCATCAACTGTAAAGTTCCCCATTAGCACTGATGTAATGATCTAGACCATTCCTCTGCAAAATGGCTAAAAATTGAGATAGTCCAATTCTATCATTCCTTCCACATTTTTTGAAACTAAAAGTGAAAATCACTCAGTCATGTCCGACTTTTTGTGACCCCATAGGCTATATATTCCATAGAATTCTCCAGGTTAGAATGCTGGAGTGGGTAGCCTTTCCCTTCTCCAGGGGATCTTCCTAACCCAGAAATCAAACCCAGATCTCCCGCATTGCAGGCAGATTCTTTACCAGCTGAGCCACAAGGGAAGGCCAAGAATACTAGAGCAGTTAGCCTATCCCTTCTCCAGGGGATCTTCCCAACCCAGAAATTGGACCGGGGTCTCCTGTGTTGCAGGTGGATTCTTTACCAACTGAACTATCAGGGAATCCACATTTGTTAGAATTCTATAAAGAAAAATCTCTCCACGTTTTCTGTCATCATTGATTTGATTATCCAGAAATGCGGCCTATGTGGGAAAGTTAAGAGAAATGCTTGATGCTCTTGCTGATGAGTTTTCAGAATACAGACTTTGTACCCTAGCAACTTCCAAAGGCATAATGAAGTCCCTAAAAGATATATATGTTATGAATTAATTTTTTAAACACTACTGGTGTGTTGTAATTCACTAACATTACTTTATGTATAAAGTCCCTGTCAAGTTTAGATATCATGGTTCTGCTGGTCCCAGTTCTGAAATGAGTTGATGAGTACTCCTGGTATCTTTTTTTTTTTTCTCACAAACAACACTTTACTTCCTATACATACACCAGCACCATCCTACAGAACTTTCCTCCATGATGGAAGTGCTCTAGCCCAGTGGCAGCAACTGAGTTCACCTACGTCAGCTCTTTTCATCACGTGGCAGACACAAGAGATAAGCATGTCCTCAGACCTATGTATTCCTGGGCCCATGAGGACAGTCACGTTGAGCATAACTGGGACTTGCTTTAAGGAGGCCATGGGAAGTGGGGGTTACAATCAACATCCTGAAGGATGAAACCTGTCAAGGGAAATCATGCACCCACCCACAACGGGGATTACAGACCCCTGCCCAACCCCAATCCTATCTACACTACAGGTTGGCATTAAAAAGTTTCCTTTCCCAACACATGCATAGATGGCCCTTAGCTGCTAATATAAGACCTCGCCTCACTTTGTATTAAAGATTACTGATCTTACATATTTCCCCTGCTCTTCTGATACGCCATTAAAACAGCAAAAGGACTGAAAGAGATAAAACCCACAAGGACACACACAACCAATGACCAGGAACCACGCCCACCGAGCTGTGTTCACACACTGGAAATTCAGAGAAACTGAGACCAGATCTGATCCCACCCACCTCTCCTACCCACGTCCTAATCAGGGTGGTAGCTTCTAGAAAGGCTTCTGGGGGTGTTTCTTGCATTCCTTTTAGACAAAGACCCACCACGGAAGACCACAGCATAGTTCCTGAAACCTTAAATCCCACAACATTTATTATAAAGGTGCTATACAGGGAAACCCTGATCTTCATGATGGGCTTATCGGTAGGATTTCTGGTAGCGGGCACGGGCACCAGGACCTCCAAACTTTTTGGATTCGCAGCGACGGGGATCGGCTACCAGCAGGGTCCGGTCATACTGGATGAGGATGTCTTTGATCTCCTTCTTGGAAGCCTCGTCCACATATTTCTGGTAATAGGCCACCAAGGCTTTGGAGATGGACTGGCGGATGGCGTAAATCTGGGCTACGTGACCACCACCCTTCACTCGGACGCGGATGTCCACACCAGCAAATCGCTCCTTGCCCAGGGGCAGAACAGGTTCCAGTAACTCGTATTGCAGCGTGCGCGGTTCGATCATCTCCTGGGGTCGTCCGTTCACCTTGATGAGGCCGTTACCTCGTTTGCAGTGCACCACGGCGGTGGCCGTCTTCTTGCGTCGGAAGACTTGCACTGACTGCAGAGGGCCCTTGGATGGCATGGCTGCAGACGTAGAAAAGAGATCCTCACCGCGCGGCGCCGCAACCGGAAAAGCTCCTTGTATCTTTTTAAAAAGAGATTTCTTTTTACATAAAGTTTAAAAACAGTTTTCCCTGGTGGTTCAGATGGTTAAGTGTCTGCCTGCAATGTGGGAGACCTGGGTTCGATTCCTGGATTGGGAAGATCCCCTGGAGAAGGAAATGGCAACCCATGCCAGTACTCTTGTCTGGAAAATTCCATGGATGGAGGAGCCTGGTAGGCTACAGTCCATGGGATCACAAAGAATCGGACATGACTGAGCAACTTCACAGAGGCACAGATATTAAAAGATACAACTTGATGAGCTTGGACATATTTACATGATGAGTTTGGACATTTTATATTATAGGGTCACTAGGCAGGGCAGCAGTGATGTGTCTCAGAGCGCTCTGGGGTCCACTCTCTGCCCCTAATACTGACTAAACTCTAACAGCATCTTTTAATTATCTGTTTTTGACTGTGCTGGGTCTTCATGTTATGCACGGGCTTTATCAGGTTGGGCAAGTGGGGGTTACTTTTTGTTGCAGTGTGTGGGCGTCTCATTGAGGTGGCTTCTTTTCTTGTGGAACATGGGCTCTAGTGCCTCAGTAGTTGCAGTAGTTGCTTGTGGGCTCTAGGACTCCGGCTCAATAGTTGTGGTGCACGGGCTTAGCTGCTCTGCGGCATATGGGATCTTCCCGGGCTGGGGATCAAACCTGTGTACCCTGCATAGGCAGGCAGATTCCAATCTACTGTATTACCAAGGAAGTCCCCAACAGCATCTTATGATGAGCATAAGTTTTAAATTAGTTTTATTAGGGATATGATAATAACATAATAAACTGCACATATTTAAACTGTACAGATTGATTAGTTTAGACATATATAGATCCCTTGAAACCAGCATCACAATCAAGATAAGGAACATATCCATTCCTCCTGCCCCTTTGTAAGCTTTTCTACCACCCCTCTCCCAACTTACCCCAGGCAAAAACTGGCATTCCCTGTCCCTAGATTAGTTTTGTATCTTCTTGAATTTTCTAGAAATGGAATCATACAGTATATATGTATTCTTTTTTTGTCAGACTTCTTTCACTCAGCCTAATTATTCTGAGATGTAACCATGTTGTTTTACGTATCCCTTTTTACTGCTGAGCAGTATGTGCCAAGACTGACTGAGCCATTCACCTGTTGATGGGTGTGGAGTGGGTTCTGGATTCTGGCTATGACAAAGGAAGCTGCTAGGAACGTCCATGTACAAATCTTCATATGGAAGTATACTTTCATTTCTCCCAGGCAAATACTTGGGAGTGGAATGGCCACATCATATGGTGGGTGTATGTTTAATGTCTTTCCAAAAAATAACTGCCGAAGTGGTAGTGGCACTAGTCTCCACCACCAGCAGTGTATGAGAGTCCCAGATGTTTCATAGTTCTGCTAACACTCGGTATGGTCTGTCTTTTCAATTTTAGGCATTCTAGTACACATGCAGTGATAGGTCATGATTTCAATTTGCATTTTCCCTAATGACTAATGGTAGTGAACATCTTATTTATCTTCTACATATTCTTTGGTGAACTCTTTTTTTTTCAGGATAGTTGCTCATTTTAAAAACCTGTGTTGTTTTTCTTATTTTTGAGTTTTGAGAGTTCTTTCTATCTTCTAGATACAAGTCTTTTATCAGATATGTGATTTGCAATTATTTGCTCCTAGTCTATAACTTGCCTTTTTATTTTTTTAACTGTGTCTTTTATAGGATAGAAGGTTTTAGTCTTGATGAAGTCTGATGTATCAATTTTTTTTCTTGTATGAAATACAGTTTTGGTATTGTAGTTTAAAAAAATCTTTGCCTAACAAAGGTCACAAAGACTTGCTCCTATGTTTTCTTCTAGAGGTTTTATAGTTTTTGATTTTTCAAATAGCTCAAATGATCCATTTTTAGTTCATTTTTGTATATCGCATGAGGCCTGAGAGCTTCCTGATAGCTCGGCTGGTAAAAAATCTGCCTGCAATGCAAGAGACCCCGGTTCAATTCTTGGGTTGGGAAGATCCACTGGAGAAGGGATAGGCTACCCACTCCAGTATTCTTGGGCTTCCCTGGTAGCTGGGCTGGTAAAGAATCTGCCCATAATTCGGGAGACCTGGGCTCAATCCCTGGGTTGGGAAGATCCCCTGGATAAGGGAATAGCTACCCACTCTAATATTCTGGCCTGGAGAATTCCATGGACTGTATAGTCCATGGGGTCGCAAAGAGTCGGATGTAACTGAGAGACTTTCATTCACTCACATGAGGCATGAGAAGTTTCTATGATGAAGTCCCATTTCAGTTTTTTTCTCTTACAATTAGTGCCTTTTATGTCCTAAGAAATCTTTGCTTGCCCCAAGGTTGCAAAAACCATTTCCTGTATTTTATTTAAAAAGGATAATGTCTTTGCCCTTTAAAATTAAGTCTATAATTCATCTCTAATTTTTATATATGATGTGAGGTAGGGTTGAGCTTCATTCTTTCCCCCAATTTGTTTATCCAGAATTCCAGCAATCATTCTAGCAACCCCCCCCCCCACACACACACTGAATTGCTTTGGTGCTCATCAGTAATATTTTTTATAAAATAAACTGCAATTAAAAATATACTCTTAGCAATACCTCCTCCTTTTTGGGTTTGTTAATTTAAAAAACACATTCAAGAACCTACAGTATGCAGGCAAGGTACTAGGAATAAGAAATATATGGGTCCATGTCCTTTGCTCTCGAGGAACTTACATCCAGGAGAAGAAACAGTCATATAAACAAATAAGTATGGAGGGTGGAGAAACACTGTGAAAGAAATTCTGTCCTATATGGTGGTGACACAGGAGGGAAAGGTCAACTTCTCTTGGGAAAGTATCTCAAAGAAGAGGATGTCTCAGCTGGTCTTGAGGAATGAGAGTAATTTAAGAGGCACACATAGTAGGCAGGGAAACAAGGAGAGCTTTCTAGGCGGAGGGAAGAGTATGGATAAGAGAACGGGATGTGAAGCAGCCCGGAAAATTTAGGGACTTGTAAGTAGTTATTAGGGCTTCCCTGGTGGCTCAGTGGTAAAGAATCCGGCTGCCGATGCAGGAGACACTGGTTTGATGCCTGGGTTGGGAAGATCCTCTGGAGAAGGAAATGGCTACCCACTGCAGTATTCTTGCCTGAAGAATTCCATGGACAGAGGAGCCTGGTGGGTTAAAGTCCATGGGGTCGCAAAAGAGTCGGACACGACATAGCAACTAAACAACAACAAAGTCGTTATTAGAATGTTGATCTGGTGCTCAATTTGGACTGGAGTTCCTTAGTAATTTTCTTCTCTTGATAAGAGGGTAAATAAACCCAAGGCATTCAGTATGTACTCTGATGGTGAGGGATCTTCCAGTTGGATATTCTGGAGGAGGCTCCCTGGCCAGGGAGGTCTCTACTTCTCTCTACTCTAGGATAGCTGTCATTGCCTCCATGTTAAAAGTAAACTTAATTTGCTACAGCTTTTGGCCCAGCTATCGATGAAAGGACAGGAGCTTACCGATTCATTGATGGCTTTGATGAGGTAAAGACCATTCTTATAAAGATAAAACAGTCGAACGATACCTGAAACAGAAAAATAAGGAAGATTGAGAGACAGACAAGTGAGCTGAAGACAAATTGGAATTTTATATGTTTGACTTTCTGAAATATCATAAGCTCGTGCATTATTAGGCTTCCTTCCCAGCCCCTCCACTGCCCGTGATCATCTTGGTTTCCTGGCCTTCTTCCACCCCTCACTTCAAATGTTCCAGCTATTCTCGCTCTTAGGTCATCTCTAGCTACACTGGCCCTATCTTCTCCTTTTAGACTCTGTTTGTAAGCACTTCAGCTACACTGATCCACTCCTTGATTTCCATCCACCTGTTTTAGCACATCACCCCAGTGTTTCACAGTGTCATCCAATCACTTCCTCTGGCAGTGGTGGTTTAGTCACTAAGTCATGTCTGACTCTTGCAACCCCATGGACTGTAGCCCACCAGGCTCCTCTGTTGATGGGATTTTCCAGGCAAGAATACTGGAGTGAGTTGCATTTCCTTCTCCAGGGGATCTTCCAGACCCAGGAATTAAACCCGGGTCTCCTGCATTGCAGGCGGATTCTTTACTTGACTGAGCTAAGAGAGAAGCCCTCACTTCCTGTGAGTGTTCATTATTCCTCTTGCGAGTGCTTGGATTCTCTGAGGGAAAGGATGGTTTCTTCCTCTTCTATGTGCCTCATCTCTCAAACCCCAGAAAGCTCCTCATGAAGTTAATTTTGTCGATTCAGTAAGTAATTCGGTCATTCTAATTCCCATTTAACCTAAGGGCTCTAGTATATGATCATCACCCACAGACTTCTTGCCACTTTCTTGAGGTGCCTCCCAGACACTCATAACCTACCTCTATTGCCATAATACAGACTTTCAAGAGGCACCTGGCCCGCTGTGGGTGAAAGTCTAACTCAACCCAATAAATATTCATGGGATATCTGCTCCAAGACCACAAAGGAGCGAAGGACAACCAAGGCAGTCTCCATCCTCCAGTTTATCACATTCAGAATCACACAGACATGAAACTAACTGGATATAATGCAGTGTGATAAATGCAATCCTATCGTTAGACCAAACTCCTCCTGAATATCAACATTCCTACTCCAGGTGCCTCAAACATGTACATGCGCAAATTGAAGCTTTCAACTCACAGTCCCCTGAAACCTTACTCTCCTATAACTGCTTTTCAAGGAGTGGTATCATCTTCTATCCCATTATCTAAAGGCAGAAAGGAGTCATTTTTCTTCATACCCCCCACTCCCCAACTCCACACATATGTTCCATCTCTGACCAAGTTTTTCCATTATATTTTCCTTTTCGTTTTTTAAGCTTTTTATTTTGAACTAATTTTAGACATACAGAAAAACTGCAAAAATACTACAAAGCATTCCCTTATACCCTCATCTCACTTCCCTTAGTGTTAACATCTTACAGAACCACAGTGCACTTTTCATTTAAACAGCTCCCTTAGTTCAGACCTTCATAATTTCTCTCCTCAATGGATGAACTAGCTCTTCCTGGTCTCTCTACCTTTCCATTTGGGTTTTTCAAACTCCTATCAGGGTGCTCTTCCTAAAACGTCAATGGAATCAGGTCATTCTCCTACAGAAAGAGTATCCTCCAGGACACCGTCCATAGTTCTCTGTACAAAGGTTCCCCTGCCTGATTCATCCTCAGGCTGAGGGGGGGAAAGAAAGCCTCGAATATGTGAGCAGCAGGACTGCCGAGTGCTGGAAAGGGTGTGGACTCCGGGGCTACACTGCCTGTTCAAATCCTGCCTGTGCCACTTTCTCTGTTGTTATTTAATTGCTAAGTCATATCTGACTCTTTGCAAACCCATGGACTATAGCCTGCCAGGCTCCTCTGTCCATGGAATTCTCCAGGCAAGAATACTGGAGTGGGTCGCCATTTCCTCCTCCAGGGGATCTTCCCAACTCAGGGATCAAACCCGCATGTCCTGCATTGGCAGACAGATTCCTTACCATTGAGTCACCCAGGAAACCCACTTTCTGCGTTACCTCTTCTGAAAAACAACAATAATAAACTATATGTACCTCCTAGGCTATTGTGAGGGTGAAATGGACCAACATATGTGAAATGTGAGAACAATGCCTGGCATACCACACTGTCTTGCAGATGCTGGCTGCTACTACATGACCAGGGAGAACTCTCCATGTCTGGTCCCTCCCATGCCTGGAAAGAAGATTAAACTGAACAACAGTCTACAGCTATCTATAGATTAGGCTAAAAAGGAAAGAGAAGAACATGTACCCGTTTCATCCACAGGAGCAATAAGTATTTCACTCCCCAAATCTGTGGCCCAGATGGAAATGACATCAACCTTAAGTTTCTCCCAAACATGTAATTGTTTAGCGTTATGCAGATTATAGATAGAGAATCCTTTGCTTCCTCCAATAAACACATAGTCTTGGGAAACATCCATGCAGTTTGGCATTGTGTTGAGCTGGAAAAAGCAAAACAAAGAGAAAAGGAACAGTTTTCAGTTACTGCCATCTGCAAGTAACATGAGCTAACTTTTCTTTTTTGGCAGCACTGTGCAGCTTGTAGGATTCTCAGTTCTCCAGCCAAGATTGAACCTCTGCCCCCTGCAAGGGGAACGTGGAGCCTTAACCACTGGACCACTAGGGAAGTCCTGAGCTAACTCTTCAAAAAGTGATGCAGGTCCTTCCTAGTTATGGTATCCCACCCAAATGCAGTGCCCATCTAAATAACTTGCCCAGATATCAAGCAAGTCATAGTACTCTACATTTAGGAGAAAGGGGCAAGAGAAAGCAAGGAAGTCGAGAAGAAGTGCTCATTCACAACACCAAGTGTGGCCACAGCCTATGATAAGTGGACCAGTGGCCCCATTCCCTGTACTCTGTTCTTCTAGAACACTGTGGAAAGAGTTGTAGCTGACACCGGGCAGATTCTTAACCACCAAGCAAGACAGTGATTAATACACTCCGAAAGATTTGTAAATAACAATAGGATGTAAAAGGCAGATGTGCATAATCTTCAGTTAACCAGAATGCCCATTTACCCAGGCAATGACTAGATCCATTTTAATCAACATCAGCATGCCTGTAATCTTTCCAGCACGCACCTGTAATACAGGTGAATGAAGCTTCCTGGCAGGAATTCCTTCCCTGGATCAGGAGTTTTCATTTATTACCTTAACACTCAGTTGAGGGGACTTCCCTGGTGGTCCAGTGGTTAAGACTCTGCCTTGAAATGCAGGGGACATGGGTTTGATCCCTGGTCAGCGAGAGAGCCTACATGCCCGTGAGCCCGTGTCGTGTGCTCTGGAGCCCCTGTGCTGTAACAAAAGAACCCGCAACACAAAATGAAGATCCCACATGGTGCAACTGAGACCCGACACGGCCAAATAAATAAATAATTAATCAAATAAACGTGAAAGCCACCACTCAGTTGAGAAACAAGGCCACCTTGGCAGCTGCTCCATACCTTAATTTCTCTAAGTGGATGGTAGATGGTGGGCTGGGTCCGGCGGAGCTCAGCTGTCTTTGAAGTATCCCTCCCCTCAATAATTTCCCACGAACGGTCAAACAGTGAGTTCACCATTTTGTTAATCATTCGATACGGCTGGGGTAGGGAATCCTGCTCTTGATCTGGATCCTTGAAGACCCAATCATCTTCATCATCCTTAGACCAGTCCTTCTCTGTCGGGGATGGCACCTCCAGTGTCCCCTTTCGGGTAAAGATGGGGAGCTTCATCTTCTGACTTCGACTTCCTTTGGGACTTGCCATCACAGAAGATAGTGTTGGAAATGTCTATGAAATTCTGAAAAGCTGGTCAAAGAAATAAGCCGAGGTACTTGCAGATAAAAGGGGGAAGTTATCAGAAGACAGCACATCACCCTCCTTAGCATATTCACTTATGGGCACTATTTATTCTAGAGCCTGGCACCTGCCTCGTTACCACATCACTAAGATATGCTCTTCATTTTAATAAGGATATCAGCAGAGACAGGTTTGACTATTCGTATCTTTCAGGCCACCCCAAGATGACATGTGCTATGATGAAAGGAAAGGAATTTGACTTCTTGCTTCCTTTCTTCACCTCCTGATAAGAGAGTGGCTTTCTGTTCCAAATTGAATTCACCCTTTCTCTGCAACTTATGCCTTCTCCTGGCTCTTCCATCTCTGCAAATGGCTGTGCTAAAGCCAGCTGGGTAGGGGGTCATGATTCTCTGCTTGTTTTCCTTTCACCTCCAGTCAGATACAGCTCAAACACTTCCCTTCCTTGCTGTCCAGTTTACTCCTTCCTCTCTATTCCCCCTGCTGCCATCCAGCTCTGCAGGCACAGTGCCCAGAGCCTATGAGATTTTTCCAGGGCTTACAGAAATATTGGAGACCTGAAAAGAGACTGACTAAAAAAGAAAATCCCACAAAATCAAAATAAATATTTACGAAAACACTGACAGCTTATCAGCTCTACTGTGTGTACATAATATCTAAGTTTATGAGAAAAGAACAAGCAATCTGCAGTTTATAAAACTCAAAACTGTACAATTATAAAAAGGTTTTCAAATGTTACAGTTAAGAAAAGGCATTTAACGTGGAACACGGGGTACATTTTAAGATTTTTAATCGGTAGTGGAGTAGGGTCTTGCACTGTTGGAATGCCTTGGGGCCCTGGAAGCCTTATAAAGGCCCTGCTACCATCATCTTTTCTCACTTGTGAGAGCACATTTGTGATGTTTCTGTGCAAAGTGAGAAGAGACTATCTGGGTTTGAGTCTGAAAGGAAAGAACCATCTGAAATCATCAGTGGGAACACTAAACTGAGGTGACACAGGGCCACGAATAATGCCTGTTTCCACCAGCAAGAACAGAAAACCTCATTATTCACAAACGCTGGGTAGAGTACTCAGGAAAATCTAGCCAAGTAGTGGGAAAAGTTAATCCTATTCAAATACTGTTCTGGTATTGCCCAATGAATCTTGGAAGTCAGAAGATCAAACTTAATGAAGTAACTTGACTACACACCAGAACAAATATTTATATGAATACAAATATGAAACCAAGCCCCAATAAAACTAAGTTCCCTTACTGAGTTTATGATTACTCTACCTAAAACTTTACTCGCTTGCCTCTCTCCTTTGACTTCACCCCATTTCTTCTCCCCTCTGACCTCAATCCTGAACACCAGTCAAGCAGAATCAGATGACTAAGACTGCAGTTGCTTATAATATCATAAATGTACTAAGACTGCTGTTATAGACACCATCATTAATGTACAAACTCAGGTTGTTTCTCCAGGGCAAGATTAAGCTCTTAGATCCCCGAGCCATGGACTACCTGGCCAGAGAATCATGAACTGGGTCATCCTAACTCCCAAAACTGTGACTAAGACATGTCACAGAAATGTCACAAGACAAAGATAATCCAAATTTCTTTGTTTTTCCATTTTAAAATATCCCTAAACCAAAAACCAAGAAGGAGTGGATCCAAGACTCATTTCCTACTCCCTTGCTTGGTGCCCTGCAATAAACCCTTACTTTGCTATAAACACTTGCTGTCAGAATTTGGCTTTCTGTGTCATGGACACATGAGCCCTTGCTCAGTTACAAAAAGAAACAGCATCCAATGGAGTAAAATTCACAATGTCTAAGATCCAATTAAAAAATGACTGTGGTATACCCACATTATGGGATACTACTCAGTAATAAAAATAAAAAACTACTGATAAACATAAAAACATGGATGAACCTCAAAGGCATTAGCTGGATGAAAGACTAGTCTAAAAACTTATGTGCAGTGACTCCATCTATAAGGCATTCTTGAAAGTCAAAACTAATAATGGGGAACAGAACAGTAGTTGTCAGGAGTTATAGGTGGGGGGTGATGCTATTTAAAAAAGAAGAGCATGAGGGAATTTTGGGGATAATGGGACTCTTTCATTCAGATTGGAAAGAGCTCTGCAGAGCTATTCCCAGACAATATGATTATCTATAGAGAAAACCTGATGGAATCTTTTTAAAAAATTTTACTAGAGCTAATAAAGTTAGCAAGGTTGCAGAAGAAAAGTTCAATATACAAAAATCTATTTCTATACAAAGGCAACAATAAAAAATTATTGATAATAGTATAAAAATATGAAATACTTAGGGTTAAATCTGACAAAAGATGTACAAGACCTGTACCCTGACAGCTATAAAATACCACTGAGTGTGTATGTGTTAGTCGCTCAGTTATGTCTGACTCTTTGTGACCCCATGGACTGTAGCCAGCCCAGCTCCTCTATTCATGGAGCTCTCCAGGCAAGAATACTGGAGTGGGTAGCCGTTCTCTTTTCTAGGGGATCTTCCTGACCCAGGGATTGAACCCAGGTCTCCTGCATTGCAGGCAGATTCTTAACTGTCTGAGCCACCAGGGAAGGCCATAAATATCACCGAGAGAAGACCTAACTAAATGGAGAGAGAGATCTTATTCATGGGCCGGAAGACAATGGTTTTAGGGCGTCAATTCTCCCCAAATTGATTTATAAAAAATTAAAATAATCCCTATGATATTCCCAGTTGGCATTATTTTTTAGAAATTAAGAAGTTGATGGTACACTTCATATGGAAATGCAAAGTACCTAGAATAGCCAAAATTACTTAGAAAAAGAAAGAATTAGAAAATTAACATTACCTACTTCAAGACTTAAAAAGCCACAGTAATCAAGGCAGTATGGTATTGGCACTTTAAAAAAAAGACAAAAAGACAACAAATAACAAGCGTTGGTGAGGATGTACAGAAAAGGGAACCCTCATACACTGCTGGTGAGAATATAAATTAGTGAAGTTACTACAGAAAATAATATGGAAGTTCCTCAAAAAAATAAAAGTAGAATTACCATTGTTGTTGTTGTTCAGTTGCTAAGTCGTGTCTGACTCTGCAACGCCACAGGCTGCAGAAGAACTACACAAAAAAGGTCTTAATGACCTGGATAACCAGGATGGTGAGGTCACTCACGCAGAGCCAGACATCCTGGAGTGTTAAGTCAAGTGGGTCTTAGGAAGCATTACTAGGAACAAAGCTAGTAGAGGTGATGCAATTCTAGCTGAGCTATTTCAAATCCTGAAAGATGATGCTGTTAAAGTGCTGCACTCAATATGTCCGCAAAATTTGAAAACTCAACAGTGGTCACAGGACTGGAAAAGGTCAGCTTTCATTCCAATCCCAAAGAACTACCATATGATCCAGCAATTCCACTTTTGGGCATTTTTCCAAAGAAAACAAACAAACAGAAAAACTATTTTGAAAAGATATGTGTATCCCTAGGTTCATTGCAGCATAATTCACAATAGCCAAAATATGGAAGCAATCTAAGTTCCTATCAATAGATGAATGGAAAAAGAAGATGTGATATACATAATGGAATATTACTCAGCCATAAAAAAGAATAAAACCTTGCATTTGCATCAACATGGATAGACATAGGGGCTTCTCTGGTAGCTCAGTCAGTAAAGAATCTGCCTGAAGTGCAGGAGACTCGAGTTCAATCCCTGGGTCGGGAAGATACCCTGGAGAAGGAAATGGCGACCCACTCCAGTATCCTTGCCTGGAAAATCCCAATGACAGAGGAGCCTGGTGGGTTGCAGTCAATGGGGTCACAAAGAGTTGGGCACAACTGAGCAACTAACCCTAGGCCTAGAGTGAACTATGCTAAGTGAAATAAGTCAGACAAGAAAGATAAGTACCATATGATTTCACTTATATGTGAAATCTAAAAAAACAATACAGGGACTTCCCTGGTGGTCCAGGGGCTAAGACTCCATGCTCCCAATGCAGGGGGCCTGGGTTTGATCCCTGGTCAGGAAACTGGAGCCCAGATGCCACAACTAAGAGTTCACACTCTGCAACTAAGACCCAGTGTGACCAAATAAATTAAATTAAAAATACTTAAAAAAATACAAGTGAACAAACAAAATGAAATAGTCATAGATACAGAAAACAAACAGGTGGCTGCCAGAAGCAGTAGGGGATGGAGAGATATGTAAGATAGGTCAGGGAGATGGAGAGGTACAAAAAAAAAAAAGACAATATATCAATGAAACTAAATAGAGAAGACAGAACTAGATTCACACACATATGGACAGTTTATTTTTGACAAAGATAATTCAGTGAAGAAAGCACAACCCTTTCAATAAATAATGTTGCATCAGTTAAATATCTATATGGGGAATAAAGAACTCTGATCCATACCTTTCACTATATACAAAAATTAATTCAAAGTAGTTTTTAGTCACTAAATTGTGTCCGACTCTTTTGCAACTCCAAGTACTATAGCCTGTCAGGTTCCTCTGTCCATTGGATTTCCCAGGCAAGAATTCAAAGTAGACCATAGGCCTAAATGTAAAACTTAAAATGATAAAACCACTAGAAGAAAACATAGGAAAAAACCTATGCAATCTTCAGTCAGACAAAGATTTCTTAGATACGACATTAAAACACACACTCCGTAAGAACAAACTGATAATTTACACCTTTCAAAAACAAACTTATGCTCCTCAAAAAACATTTAAGAAAATAAAAGGTAGCTCAAAGACTAGGAGAAAATATTTGTAGGCAAAATGCTTGTATTCAAAATATTTTGAAAATTCTTAAAAATAATAAGAAAATGATACAATTTTTTTAATGGGTAAAAGATTTGCATCGACACTTAACAAAAGAAGATATACAGATGGCAAACAGGCATACTAAAGATGTTCTTCATGGTTAATCATTAGGGAAATGCAAATTATAATTACAGTGAGACAGTACTACCCATGTATTAGAATGCCTGAAGTTAGATAGACCATAATAAATGTTGTTGAAGATGAGGAAAACTGGAACTCTTCCAGTTGCTGCTGGGAAAGTAAAACACTACAGTTTAGAAAACAGTTTAGCATTTTCTTAAAAAGTTAAATTTATATCTACCACAATATCCAATCATTCTACTCCTAGACGTGATAAAAGGGAATTGAAATCATATGTCCACACATAGACTTGTAAATGAACATTCATTACAATTTTACTTCCAGGGGCCCCAAACTGAAAACAACCTAAATGTTTATCAACAGGTGAACAGACAAACTCCTACACATTCACATCCCATTCACATCAGTGGGAACACGAAATAGTACAGCCACTTTGGAAAACAGCTTGGTAGTTTCTTACAAAGTTGAATACACACTTAACAGGATTCAGCAATCCCATTTCTACATATGTATGCAAGAAAAATTAAAATGTTTCATATGAAACTCTGTACTTAAATATTTATAGCAGCTCTATTTATAACTGCCTCAAACTGGAAACAACACATATGTACTTCAGTGGATAGACAACAAACTATGGTACATCCTTACAATGGACTACTACTCAGTGATTAAATATTTACAAACTACTGACATACACAGCATGGGTGAAACTCAAATGCATTATGCCAAGTGAAAGAAATCAAATAGTAAAGCTACATACTGGACTTTCTTGGTCCAGAGGTTAACACTCTGCACTTCTAATGCAGGGGCATGGGTTCGATCCCTGATTTCAGATGTACCACATGCTGCACAGTATGGCCTAAAAAAAAAAAGCTACATACTAAATGATTCAATTTATGATACTGTGGAAAAGGCAGAATTGTAGGTACATCAAAATAAACTATACAAATCTGTGTTTAGCAGCACTCTATGTTCATCTCTATCATCTAACATGTCACTGAGCTGTACTTCCTCTTTTTTTGTATCCCTCATTAAATCTATTGCCGTAGGCCTAGAGCTTAGCACAGCAGGTGGTACAGTTTACTTGCTTTGGGGCCAGGTTCTCACATCCTGCCCAGCTGTCATCCCTGAGGAAGCCAGGCATCCAACCCAGCTAGCTCTCAGGCTCCTCAGGCCACCCAGATGGGGAGATCAGGTCTCACAGACTGTGACCCAGACAGATGGCCACTGCTAGAGGGTCACAGAGACAGGAATGGGGGAGAGGTTCACTGCTCCTCCTTGGGCCAAGGCTAGTGGAGGGCCTTAGTGAGGGCTCTGGAGCCCTCAGGACATAGTCCCCAATCTGTTCCCTAGGCCTTCCAGCTCAACCACTAGCACAAGGCGGTGTGCTGGAGGGCCTCCAAGAAAAAGCCTGAATCTGCCTCTTACCTCACTCTCCACCTGATGACCACCACACCACCAACCCCTGACTCAATCTCTTCTCCAATGGTTCCTCTTGACAGTTACCAGTGGGCAGGGCCCACTGTGGTGCTGACCAGTATCTGGGCAGGACCACTAACTGCGGCTCGTTGACAGTTAGTTGCTTGTGGGCAAGGCCCACTGAGGCCCCGACCAATGGCTGAGCAAGACCTGCTGCCTAGTAACAGGGTACACAGTAAATAAGGCACCGCAATTGGGAAATGAGTGCCTCAAGGCTGTATATTGTTACTCTGCTTATTTAACTTATATGCAGAGTACATCACGTGAAATGCCCGGCTGGATGAAGCACAGGTTGGAATCAAGATCGCCAGGAGAAATATCAATAACCTCAGATATGCAGATGACACTACCCTTATGGCAGAAAGCAAAGAGGAACTAAAGAGCCTCTTGATGAAAATGAAAGAGGAGCATGAAAAAGCTGGCTTAAAACTCAACATTCAAAAAATGAAGATCATGGCATCTAGTCCCATCACTTCATGGGAAATAGAGAAACAATGGAAACAGTGAGATACTTTATTTTCTTGGGCTCCAAAATCACTGAGGATGGTGACTGCAGTCATGAAATTAAAAGATGCTCCTTGGAAGAAAAGCTATGACCAACCTAGACAGCATATTAAAAAGCAGGGACATTATTTTGCCAACAAAAGTCTGTCTAGTCAAAGCTATGATTTTTCCAGTAGTCATGTATGGATGTGAGAGTTGGACCATAAAGAAAGCTGAGCATCGAAGAACTGATGCTTTTGAACTGTGGTGTTGGAGAAGACGCTTGAGAGTCCCTTGGATGGCAAGGAGATCCAACCAGTTCCTCCTAAAGGAAATCAGTCCTGAACATTCATTGGAAGAACTGATGCTGAAGCTGAAACTCCCAATACTTTGGCCACTTGATGTGAAGAACTGACTCATTGGAAAAGACCCTGATGCTGGGAAAGATTGAAGGCCAGAGGAGAAGGGGATGACAGAGAATAAGATGGTTGGATGGGATCACTGACTCGATGGACATGAGATTGAACAAGCTGCAGGAGTTGGTGATAGACAGGGAAGCCTGATGTGCTGAAGTCCATGGAGTCACAAAGCTTTTTACACGACTGAGCGACTAAACTGAACTGAACTGAAGGGCTGTGCTTATCCTGCTCTGTTACAACTGGGAAAGAACTAGAGATCAGCTTTCTCTACAGTGCCATATTCCAGCTGAGTTTCCAGGTATTCCAAGGAGTCCAAGAATCCTGAATATGAAACTGGTCTTCTAGATCATTATGATGGTATGTTGTCAAGGTAGGAGAAAAGAACATAGCTTATACAACAATTGTTACCTTGATTAAAAATTTAAATATTTAAACTTATGGTTTGTGGGTCTCTATTTGTACTTTTACCCAGGGCCTACAAATGTGAGGGGCAAACCTGATCATGGGAATAAAGTTTAAAAAACTGATGCCCTTACTTTGTGACAATAAGTGAGTGTAAGTCGCTCAGTCATGTCCAACTCTTTGTGACTCCATGGGCTATACAGTCCATGGAATTCTCCAGGCCAGAATACTGGAGTGGGTAGCCTTTCCCTTCTCCAGGGGATCTTCCCAACCCAGAGACTGAACCCAGGTCTCCCGCATTGCAGGCGGATTCTTCACCAGTTGAGCCACAAGGGAAGTCCAAGAATACTGGAGAACTCTATAAAATTACTGCTTATGGAAGAGCGGGGCTTCATGTCTTCAAGCCTCAAAAAAGGAAAGTTCAGTGGTGTAGTTTTATTGTAATCTCTTTTAGCCCCCACTTCCTTCATATTAACCCTTTTTCAGAATTCCCTCAAGGAGCAATCTTCTTTCAGTGTTCATTCAATAATCCTAACAGAAAATTCTCTCACTTTACCTAGCTCTCATGCTAAAATACACCCCATGAATTGGCTTATCACTGCTCTAACCACTTCCTTCCTCAGATCTGGAACTGGTGTTGCTCAAGAGAAAACAGAGGTACAGAGCTGGGAAGTGATTAGGCGCCTCAGTCCCCAAGCAAAAAGTTGAGGAAAACCTCCTTTCGGGACTCCGCTGTGGAGGCCCCTGGGTACCCGGGATCTGTGGGGAGGCGCAGGGCGTCCCGGGGACGCCTGAGGTTGAGGAGGCAGGTTCCCTCAGATCCCCCGCTAGGAGATCCTAGAGATAGAAGGGAGTTCTGGGACATGTGAGGAGCCTCGGGACCCGGATCAGAAGCCGATGTTTCTCTCACCTGGACCAAAAGCGTGGCGTCGCCGTAGTAACCACAACTTCCGGTCCCAACCGGAAGTCCACTGAGTCTCTCTTTGGAAGGTGTGCACGCCCCCATGGGGGCGGGGAGACTCGGTCCCTCGGGTGTGGAGAAGCTGACGCTCCCGTGGGGAACCGTCGGCCGCCCCTGAGTACTAGTGACAGAGCCCGGTGCGACGCGTGTCCTTGGGCTGGGTGCCATGGACGCCTTCATCCGCTTCACTAACCAGACCCAGGGCCAGGACCGACTCTTCAGGTGAGTTAGGTGCCCGCGGCCTCTACCCCTTCCCCGGTCCTCTCACCCGGGTCGACGGTTCCCAGTTCTCCACACCCGGAGAGGGCAGTAGTAGCCTAGTGGACGAAACCTGGAAAGCCGCTGCCGGCTCCCAGCGGTAGCGTGGCCCGGGAGCCCCTCCTCACCCTAACTTCAATGAGGTTGGGCCGAACACACCTCCCTTCCCGTCCAGTCCCGCGTCTCCGGGCCGCTCGCTGCTGTAAACCAGGCGACGAACCCTCCTCTCCTGACTCCAGAAAGAGTGGGTTTTCTCCGCTCAATATTCCTCCAAGGAATTATTTAAGATAAACTCGGGGTTGACATCTGAGCCTTTGGTAGTATCTTGAAAAGCTCCATGAAATACTTATGGGGAGGAATTGTGTTTGTCATCCGTATCTCAGCGAGATACCTCCTGTGAAATAGTTTTGTGAACCGTAAAATGCAGTGTGGAGAGCCTCAGAAAGAACTGACCACCTTTCCGAGGTACAGGCCGTGCTGCTGAAAATATTAAAGAGATTGTGGCTTTAATCCTAGCTCCTAACGTTTCTTTTAGGGATTTGGTTGAATCGTGCTCAATAAAAAGAAATTAGTCACAATTACAGTTTTATTTAACAGTTTTTTCTTCTTCTGAGTGTACAAGTGCTGATACACACAGATCAATAGTAACCCCAACAATTATGAGACTTTTGGAAGCGGGCTTAATGCCAGGTGTTTTCTCAGTGTTAACAACTATTAACCCACTTAACTGTCAACACAACCCTATTAGGTTAAATTCTTGAAATCATTCCCATTTCACAGAAATGGGGAAACTGAAGCAGAAGGAGTTTAATAGGGACTAAGTGACTGAACTGAGAGATTTAAAACCACACAGTTGACTTCAGGACCCAGTTCTTTAACTTATCAAGCCATACTATCTTTCTAATTAATTTGATAGATTTTCAAAATGGTTGCATTATATACAAACTTCATTAAAACAGAAGCCTCCAGTTCTAGTGTGCTTAGAATATACCCTGAAAATTTTATCAATGATTAAAATTTTTTAAATTTTATCAATTGGTTAATAAATAATTTTATCAATGATTAAAATTAAAATTTTATCAATTGGTTAATAAATAATTGCTTAGTATATACTTATTGTATGTACTTAGTATATACTTATTTCAAGATCTGAGATTTCTAGTATTCATTTCCTAATCCCCTTGGTGATCTACGGCTTTTGTGAATACACTGGCATTCAGAAAATAATGTCTTGTTTTTGGATACATTCCTATTATTAGACCAGATCTGAGAAAAAGGGATTCATTGACTTGACCAGCTTGAGCCCTTTAGCCAGGAAACATACTTACAAGAGAAAGAGAGATTGTTTCTTATTACTTCAGGCACAGTAACACATTCACCATTTTTATTGAGAATAATATTTATAGCATAAGGGGATTCAGATGCAGTTACAGGACAGTAGGAAACAGGCATCTACCTACTTTATTTACTAGAATTTCAAATGCATTTAGATGTTTGGTTATATGATACACAATTTTTCATTTGCTCTGTTTCTGTCAGTAAGGCCTTGCTGTTTGGCTGTTTGTTCTCACGACAGTAATCACTTTATTGAATATTTAGTAGTATAAACAGGAGTCTGTACTTTATATAAAATGCTCATTAGTTTGAAAGACAAATCTATACTTATTTATGTGTTGGTCTGTATTTGGTTCTTTTATAAAAAGCTAAACAGTATGCCAGTGGTGGACTTTTCATTGGTTTTGGTTTGAGTGTGTGACCTGTCACATTAAGTAGTTGGTAAAAGTTTCCTTCTAGAAATCTGAAAATCTTTTAGAAATTTACACTGGAGAAAATAAAGAATATGGATCTTTGCAGACTTTAACACGAGGTAGAGTTTTCTGCAGTTCACTCTTTTGGCTATATGCTTTTCTCTGTGCCAGCAATGGGCATTCTGAGAAATTGTTCACTCTATTTTTGTAGAGTTCTCTTTCATTACCTTTGTGTTGCATTTTCATCACATGTTCTACCCTTTGGCCCTGTGAAATGAATGTTGCAGAATTTTGCTCTTGTAAGAGCTGCTGCATGAGAAACTGTCTTGGAAACTTTGTTTTCGGCAAGAAATGTTTCTCTTTCCCTTACTTCATGAATCAAATTTTATTTGGTTTGTAAATCATTCTCCTCATTTTTCTTTTCCATTTCAGAGCCACTCAGTACACATGCATGTTGCTTAGATATTTGTTAGAGCCTAAAGCTGACAGTGAGACGGTTGTAATGAAGCTCAAGAAACTGGAATCCAGTGTGAGCACTAGCCGTAAATGTAAGTACCCTGTCCCTTGAGGGACAGTGGCTCCTGGTTTAGAATCCTCAGACCTTGTAATTCACAAAAATACTTCCTATGTCATGAATTTCTAGTCAGTCAAGCTTATTGATGAAGATCACTAGTAAGGCTGCCCTCATGGAATGACAGGCCATAAAGATGAAATATTTTGCTGCAAACGGTTCACAAATACTCTCCTATGTTCACATTTGGTGCGACATCTTTCTGTCTTTCTGCTTCATCGTAACCAGTGGGATATACAATGTGTTAGTTCACCTTTAGTTCTTAGAATCACAAAATGTTCTGGCAATCTCTGACATGAACTTCTGGCTCCTGGGAGCCCTGGAAGAATACAGTAGCTATATCCTTGACCCCTTTCCCTTTTCCTTTTTCTTGAGGGATTGCTGGGGGAAATGGATGGATACTTTTTCTTAAGTCATTTGTGGGGTTGTTTTTATGTAAAAGGCAAAAAGCAGTCAGTGGTTTGTACTCATTTAATTCATTTTTAGTATCTGCTCATGTAGGTGTAGTTCTGAGCTTTATGGAAGAACTAAGATCACATGGTCTAATGATATAGGATTTAGTACCAAATACGTTGGTTGAGAAAAAGAAAGATGTTTTGAGGAGGTGGAACTTGAGGTGTGGCAAGAGAGAGAAGGATTGGGAGAGCATTCTTGAAGGGTAGTTTCCTCTAGTGGAGGCTCAGGATGTTCTGAGCAAACCATTGTGTTGGAAGATCAATGAGGAAACTAATTTGATGAGCAGAAGACTTTATCTGTCAAGCAGAGGGATGGGAAGGAGCTCTTCTGGATGGAGTGGAAAGCCAAGATTAGAAGTTCTCCCTCTTTGGAATGTTGGGGCTTAAAGGTACTTTAAAAATCACTGGTCTTTGAAGTTTAGAAAGGACTTACCCAAGGTCACTAAGCTAGTTAGTGCAACATCTAGAACTGGAAACCTGAATTATTCATTACATATTTTGTGTTATTTTTGATAAAACAATACCAAACATTTTTCTGAGATCAGTGTTTCCTGAGGGTAGCTACTTCTGAGAATTTACTGAGTCTAAGATATATTCATGTATGGAAAATACTTCTTTTGTATCCTCCATAATGTTTAAGATTGTAATATATACAAATATTTATTGATTGGTGCATCACTGATCAAGTTACGTGCTCTGATAAAGGAAATGACCTGTCAATGGTTGATTTAATTGAACTGGGCATCACATATAACAGTATTATTAGTTCTGTTATCCACTAAATCCTGCTATCTCTATTTTGGCTTTTTGATAGTAGGGAGCCATAGGGGCTTTGGATCAGAGAAATTGCAGGATGATGTTTTGTTAAGTCACTAAGTCATGTACAACTGTTTGCAACCTCATGGACTGTAGCCCTCGAGGCTCCTCTATCCATGGGATTTCCCAGGCAAGAATACTGGCATAGGTTGCCATTTCCTTCCCCAGGGGCTCTTCCCATCCCAGGGACTGAACCCACGTCTCCTGTGCTGGCGGTGGATTCTTTACTGCTGAGCCACCAAGGAAGGTGTTTTTTAAAAAAGCAGTCTTTTAACTGGAAAGTAAATAAGTGTAAGGCATCAGACTCTCTAAAAGAATGTTGCATTTTGGAAAAAAAAGAAAACAAAACAAAAAAAAGTGTTGCATTCTGGAATTCATGTTACTGCAGTACCTTCCTTCTAAAGAAGTATAGCTGGTAATATGCAAATTGTAACAACCCACACTTATGATTGACCTGACCTAAAGTATGTTGTCATTTGTTAATATAGTCATTCAAATGGAGGCAATACCTTCCTTCTAAAGAAGTATAGCTGGTAATATGCAAATTGTAACAACCCACACTTATGATTGACCTGACCTAAAGTATGTTGTCATTTGTTAATATAGTCATTCAAATGGAGGCAATAAGTTTAAAGGGTTGCTGTTTTTTTTTTTTGCCTTCCAGGATCATCTTAGGTGTCCTTAACCTACTGTAAAGTACTTTTCCTTTCCTGAGCAAAGACTGAGCCACAGATGACAGTCAGTTGTTAGAAAAAAGCAGTGCTGACCTCTCACCCTGATACAGGGCTTCTGCCTATAAAATCCTGTTACATCTGATTAAATAACCGTTAATTCTTGTGGGTTCTTCTTGCAGGGCTCAGACTAGGCAATGTGGTGCATGCTCTCCAGGCGACACAGCAGAGCATTCGTGCCACTGACCCGGTGCCCCGCATATGCCTAACATTAGCCGGCTTGAACCGTGTGATTTATTTCATCTGTGACATCGTCCTCTTCATGAGGAGTACAGGGCTTGCCTCTGGCGTTAACCAAGAGAAATGGCGAAAGTGGGCTGCCCGCTTTTACTACTATTCTCTTCTGCTGAGCCTGGTCAGAGATCTGTACGAAGTCTCCCTGCAGATGAAACAGGTTGCACACGACAGGGCAAAGAGGGAGAAGTCACCATCCCAGGATCCCCTCAGGTACAGTGTGGCTGACAAGGAGACAGAGTGGCTCCAGTCCCTTCTTCTTCTCTTATTCCACTCTGTGAAGAGGCATCCTCCCTTGTTTCTGGACACAGTGAAGAACTCCTGTGACATCCTGAACCCCTTGGACCAGTTGGGGATCTATAAGTCCAATCCTGGCATCATAGGCCTTGGAGGCCTTGTGTCCTCTGTA